AGGGCTCTGTAATCCTTCTGGATGCTCATAGGACAGCTCCTGGCTGTCACTGATGCCCATGTGAAATAAGAGAAACAAATGGAGTGGATGAGGCTTGGCAGTCTCTTGGTGATATCCCTGATAGGAGACTCCAGTAGGCAGCATACTCTCTGGAGAATATGTCAGGTCGGCAGATGGGTGCCTCTGTACCTCTCAGAAGAGAGTCATCTCTGACTATCACCTGCTGCCTTTTATTAGTTGTGCTAGTTGTTACACGGGAGCAGACAGGTCTGCCTTAGTCAGCTCCAGCATCTCTCCTGATGTGATGGGTCTTTCCTCTTACGTTGGCAGAGAGGTGAAGTGGATCTGCAAGGGCACATCAGGCTTCAGGGCAAGTCTCTTCCTCCTGCAGGTCCTTGCCATTGCAAGCTTCCATTCTTCAGTATTGTACCCCCTCCCATCTGTGTGTGCCATTGTGGGAGGTTTTGGCTGTTTGGCCGTGGGCTGTTGGTCCACTGCAGACTGCACTTTGATCCAGCACATTCCTTTTAAAAAAGTATTCATATCTTGTTTATGAACATTCCTGACTGTTTTTTCTTGGATAGTCAGTCACGTGAAGTTGTACATTCTCACTAAACAGCCAAACAAATTCCTTAAGTGTAGACTCAAACAAGGGTGAAATTAAAATGTGATTTCTGTAAATACTAATGCTTACAGTGTTGAACTTAATTTGATGTCGTGAGTAACATCAGACAAATATACTGACAACAAATGTTAATGTAATATTTCACTAAAAATTTTACTTTTGCTTGAAGGATATGCTAAGCAGCACCTTCTTTGCCTTACAGCTCCATTACAGAAAGATGCTAAAATCATAGCTAGTAAAATCATCTGCCACACAGAACCAGTGCAACCTGGAAAACTACAATGGCATATGGAAATTGTTTTATGTTTGCATAGTCGTGTGCCCTTATTTTTTTCCTGTTCATGTAAGTGCATCTGTACATTTCAAAACATAAACATGCAAATACATAACTGTTGCCAACATATTTTAAATTGCTTAGATAGAAAAAAACCACACATCCTTTATAGCTATTGGTTAGAAAAACAAGCGTTGTTTTCAGTACAAATTTGGTAAAGAAAAACATTTACTCAAAATATGTATCATATAATTTATGGTATTAGAAAGCTGGAGAATGATATTTATTTGAAATTTAGTAAGGAATTACTTTTGACAAGACTGACTAGGAATGTAGTTGCATCAAATGTGCAACAAGGATGGGAATATGTTATTTTTTTTACACTAATGCCATGAAAAGAAAAGGATGCAGAGTAGCCTGGAGGCTGTTTCAGTTTGTCTACATGCTGGTCCTGTAAACTTAGAGCAATACATTTTGACTTTACTGCTGTCATTAATCCTGAAAGTTTATGTTTGCATTTTATGGCAAATTGAATAGGAAACTAATTTTTTCTGGATGTAGTAATTAGCTTCCAAACTGGGGAAGAAAAAAAAGCAGTTCAAAACATTCAGCAAAATTGGTTTTCCTAAAAACATTACTGAATGATAAATGTCATTGAGCTTCTGATAGGAGATAATGTTTTTCATATGATACAAGTTTTGTACACACTTCAGAGCTGATTGCTTTTGAGACTGAAAAATCTGATTTCAGGTCATAGAGTCATAGAATAGTTAGGTTTGGAAAGGACCTTAAGATCATCTAGTTCCAACCCCCCTGCCATGGGCAGGGACACCTCACACTAAACCATCTCACCCAAGGCTCTGTCGAACCTGGCCTTTAACACCTCCAGGGATGGAGCATTGACAGCCCCCCTGGGGAGCGCATTCCAGTGCCTCACCACCCTCTCAGTAAAGAACTTCTTCCTTATATCCAATCTAAACTTCCCCTGTTTAAGTTATAACCCATTACCCCTTGTCCTATCATTACAGTCCCTAGAGAAGAGTCCCTCTCCAGCATCCTTGTAGGCCCCCTTCAGATCCTGGAAGGCTGCTATGAGGTCTCCACGCAGCCTTCTCTTCTCCAGGCTGAACAGCCCCAACTTCCTCAGACTGTCTTTACACAGGAGGTGCTCCAATCCCCTGATCATCCTCGTGGCCCTCCTCTGCACTTGTTCCAACAGTTCCGTGTCCTTTTTATGTTGAGGACACCAGAACTGCACACAATACTCCAGGTGAGGTCTCACAAGAGCAGAGTAAAGAGGCAGCATCACCTCCTTCAACCTGCTGGTCACGCTCCTTTTGATGCAGCCCACGATAGGGTTGGCTTTCTGGGCTGCAGGCGCACACTGAAGCCAGCTCATGTTCATTTTCTCATCAACCAACACCCCCAAGTCCTCCTCCACAGGGCTGCTCTGAATCTCTTCTCTGCCCAACCTGTAGCTGTGCCTGGGATTGCTCTGACCCAGGTGTGGGACCTTGCACTTGTCATGGTTAAACCTCATGAGGTTGGCATCAGCCCACCTCACAAGCGTGTCAAGGTCCCTCTGGATGGCATTCCTTCCCTCCAGCGTATCAACCGAACCACACAGCTTGGTGTCATCGGCAAACTTGCTGAGGGCGTGCTCAATCCCACTGTCCATGTCAGCGACGAAGATGTTAAACAAGACCGGTCCCAACACCAGTGCCTGAGGGACACCACTCATTACTGGTCTCCAGCTGGACATTGAGCCATTGACCACAACTCTTTGTGTGCAGCCATCCAGCCAGTTCTTTATCCACTGAGTGGTCCATCCATCAAATTGATGTCTCTCCAATTTAGAGACAAGGATGTCTTGTGGGACAGTGTCGAATGCTTTGCACAAGTCCAGGTAGATGACATCAACTGCTCTACCCCTGTCCATCAGTTCTGTAGCCCCATCATAGAAGGCCACCAAATTGGTCAGGCAGGATTTCCCCTTAGTGCAGCCAGGCTGGCTGTCACCAAGCGCCTTGTTGATTTTCATGTGGCTTAGCATGCCTTCCAGGGGAATCTGCTCCAAGATTTTGCCAGGCACAGAGGTGAGACTGACAGGTCTGTAGTCCCCGGGTCATGAATTTTCCTCTTCTTGAAAATGGGGGTTATATTTCCCTTTTTCCAGTCATCGAGAACTTCCCCTGACTGCCATGATTTCTCAAATATGATGGACAGGGGCTCACCAACTTCATTTGCCAGGTCCTTCAGGACCCGCGGATGGATTTCATCAGGACCTATGGACTTGTGCACATTCAGGTTCTTAAGATGGTCTCGAACCAGATCCTCTCCTACAGTGGGCCCAAGGTCTTCATTCTCACAGTCCCTGCATCTGCCTTCCAAGACTTGGGTGGTGTGGTCAGAGCATTTGCCAGTGAACACTGAGGCAAGGAAGTCATTCCGAACCTCAGCCTTCTCCAAATCCAGGGTAGCCAGTTCTCCTGATAGCTTCCAGAGAGGGCCCACATTGTCCCTAGTCTGTCTTTTATTTGCAATGTGCCTATAGAATCCCTTCCTGTTAATCTTTCACATCCCTAGCCAAGTTTAATTCTAACTGGGCCTTAGCTTTCCTAACCTGGTCCCTAGCTTCCCGGACAACATCCCTGTACTCTTCCCAGGCCACCTGTCCTTGCTTCCACCTTTTATAAGCCTCTTTCTTCCTTCAAAGCTTCCTCAGGAGCTCCTTATCCATCCAAGGAGGTCTTCTGGCCCTTCTGCTGCACTTCCTTCTGGTTGGGATGCAACACTCCTGAGCTTGCAGTAGGTGATCCTTGAATATCATCCAACAGTCTTGGGCCCCCCTACCCTCTAGGGCTGTATCCCATGAAACCTTACTAAGCAGGTTCCTGAAGAGGCCAAAGTCTGCTCTTTTGAAGTCCAGGGCAGTGAGCTTGCTGCATGCTCTTCTCACTGTCCTGAGGATCTCAAATTCGAGCATCTCATGATCTCTGCAACCAAGGCTGCCCTGGAGCATCACGTTTCCAACGAGCCCTTCCCTGTTGGTGAGCACGAGGTCAAGCATGGCACCTCTCCTTGTCGGCTCCTCTATTAGTTGCAGAAGGAAGTTGTCTTCCACACAATCGAGGAACCTCCTGTATTGCTTGTGCTGGGCCGTATCGTCCTTCCAACAGATGTCAGGGTAGTTGAAGTCCCCCATGAGAACAAGGGCCTGTGAGCGTGAGGCTGTTCCTATCTGTCCATAGAATGCTTTATCCACAGAGTCCTCTTGATCAGGCGGTCTGTAACAGATGCCCACAGTAATGTCTCCCATAGCTATATTCCCTTTAACCCTGACCCACAAACTCTCTGTGGACTGCTCACCTGTCCCCAGACAGAGTTCCATACTCTCCATCCTATCCCTAACATAAAGGGCAACTCCCCCTCCCCGCCTGCCAGGCCTGTCTTTCCTAAAGAGCCTGTAACCTTCCATTCCAACACTCCAGTCATAGGAGCCATCCCACCATGTTTCTGTGATCCCTATTATATCATACCCCCGTAGATGTGCCCACATCTCTAATTCCTCTTGTTTGTTCCCCATGCTATGGGCATTTGTATAGAGGCATCTGAGCCGAGCTCCAACTGAAGCCGGCTCATTGGCTGGAGCAGCTGGGATATCTCTACATTGCTCCAGGCATTTATTATAGGTTCTGGCAACTGACTGGGTGTGTTGGGATGGAATGATGCCCCCCTCCCCCAACACATCTAGTTTAAAGCCTCCTTGACCAGTCTGGCAAACCTCCTACCGAAAGACCAGCTCCACCAGCCCCCGGTAGACCTGGCCTACTAACTTGGGTCCCTTGTTCAAGACACCCAAACCCCTGACTATGGCACCACCCTTCTAACCATTTATTAACCTGGCCAATCCTCCTAGCCTTTTTGGGGTCCTCCCTTGTATCCTGGAGAATTGACAAAAAGACAATCTAAGCTCCAGAGCCCCTAACCACCTCTGCCAGGGCTCTGTAGTCCTTCCTTATGTTGTTCAGGTTCCCGCTGTCTATATGACTAGCACCCACATAGGTCACTAGAAGCGGGTAATAGTGGGGCAATGATGATTCCCTTGGTTTTCTGGATCCATATGAAGAAGAGCTAAGGCTTTAGATCAGGTTTTACACCTATTCTAAAGAAAACATTTCTGCCAAAGTTGTTTTTACCAACTGTGCATGTGGCACAGGAAAGCTGGCAGGAAATCAACATGCATCTTGCAGACACATTAAAATTGCTTTTGGAAAAGTACAGTGTGAGCATAAAGCCAAAGTAAGTCTTTGTAGCTCTTACAGGGAGAGCCATCTGTCCACATGGGACAGGATCAATTTCAAATTGAGCGTGCAGACAGTAAATTACCTTGAGACTTTATCTTCTAATCTTCAGTTGAAGTAAATGGACAGCAATAGTGCAAGCAGTGCAAGACTGGGTCTTCAAAAGAAAAAACAGTTGGGAGTATGCATTGTTTAAGATAAATATCTCATAAAACATGTGTTATTTAAATTAAATATTCTGGCAAAACTCTCTTTAAAAACCCATAAAAGTGTTTAATTCTTCCTGGATATATGTTAATGGTTACAGATAATTTCAAGTATTATGTGGGATCAGAAAAAAAGGTACAAGATCAGTGCTGGTCCCAAAAATACTGCAAAGAGATTACTTATCAAATAATATTTGGATAATAGATAAACATGTAAGAAGTTTATGATCTAACTCATTGCATTAGCAAGTGTTCATATGTTGGATTTTTTCCTTTTCCAGCTAACTAAGAATAAGAAAATTATGATTAACTTTCAGGTAACAGAACAATCTGGTTTAAAAACCCTCTCTTTAAATGATTTTACTTGGACATCTAATAAAAATATTGATTCCAACCTCACATATTACAAACACTGGACAAGTTTAGAGTTACAAGTGATCTATTTTTCAATGGTTTTATGACAATCACATACTTCAAAGCAAATTAATGCTACATCAGATGATACGGAATGAGCATCCTGTGCCTAAATACAGAAAGGTTGGTCTAGTCAAGTGATTTTTGTTAGCTTTGGAGCTTCACCAGTTTTCAGGAGATGCACAGATTTCTAGACAATATGCTCATTTTTCTCAGTTAACTTCCCAGAATGGCTTAGATAGTGCCCAGAGACCACTCCTCCTCTCTGCTGCTACCTACTGTTGTGATCAATCACCTATCAAAATGCAAGATTACCCAAAGCTATATTGTTCTGTCAGAGGAATTTGTGAGTCTCCTGTCACTGGATGTTTCTAAGATAAAAAGGTCTGTGCCAAGGTTCACTACCCTTGTAGTCACAGGATTTTCTCATGTCTAACCTGACTGCAGTTTGAATTATTTCTGTTCATCAGAGATATGAAGGACAGATGCTTCTCTTCTGCTTTCCAATGGCTTTTTACATATTTGAAGCTAGGGTTTTTTTGAAATTGTGCAGTTGATCATTCCTGCCTAAGTATTGTTCTTTGCCTTTGTCCTTACTGAATTACGTCCCAAGTTTTTCTGACCATTATCCAGACTAATTAGAAATGAGTAGGCAAAATGAGGTAGAAATAGGTAGAAATGAGTAGGCAAAATGAGGTAGAAATAGGTAGAAATGAGTAGGCAAAAAATTCAGTCCTTAACAACAGGCCAAACTGGGAGGTAGCTGGTTTATCTCACACAAAACAGCACTAAGGTAGCAGGAACTGGACATGATATTTGGTCAGTAGTGACCTTAGGCAGGAAGCAGTTGAGCCTCTGCTCAGCATGTGTTCATTAGGAATCTAACTATCCACTTCATGAAAGTTGGTAAGAGGAGTATTTCTACAGTATGCAGCAATTTCAAGTCTTTGAGTTTACAGTTTGAGAAAAATTATGGGCAGAAAATTACTATTGGTCTGGTAAAGTCAGGACTGATAGTATAATTTTCTATGGCTTTATTTTTGTTTTGGTTTGAATTCATGTTAGCATTAAAGGTAAAAATACAATTTAAACAGTGCTGGAAACTCCTTATGTTAAATAACCTCTATACTCTGTATACAGGTTGCTTATAGTTATGTATAGAGGTTAAATAACCTCTATAGTCTGACCTTAGGTGGGGAAAGACATAGTTGCTTCAAACAAATTAGTATTTCCTCACAATGTTCTGTACTGACAAACACTGGAACCTCTATGACATACACAATGTAAATTATGTGAAAATACAAAAATTAGCCATTGTACATACTGGTAAATAAACGTATTTACTGCAGAATACCAGAAAGTTTCTTTTAAAAAATTTACTTTGTAAAAACACATTCTTCCAGGTTTATCTGAAGCACCATATAGATCTGAACAAAGTGAGATGCCTGACTAATCAAAACAGGTCAAGACAGTCTGGTGTGCAAACAAACATGACATATTACAGGCATTATGAAAGAACATGACTGGTTAAATATTATCTCTCAAGATTAAGGGTTTTGTTTCTCAATTTTGATATTTCTCACCTTTTTACACACTATATAATTTAAAGGAAATCTAGACCACAACATACTCACATTCTATTGTACATCACTGGTTTATTTAAGAAACGTGAAGAGATTAATTAGAGGATGTTTACTTTGAGAATAAAAACCCCAAACCTAACTCAAGTGCTTTTTCATTTTATGGGACTGAAACATTCATGTAGCACTTACATTTTCTGCTTCTAGAAGTTTAAGTAAACAAGTCAGAAACAAAGATGTATTTTTCTTTACAGGCAGATACAGTCCCAGTGCCTTCTAAAATAGGTATTTTTATAGCTGCTCCCAAATACTGAATCTTTCAGACTGTCATTAGTTGGATGAAGGCAGTATTGGGAAATACAAAAACAGTTCAGTGTCTGCTAGGAGCTATCAAAACCCAAGTACCTCAAAAGTAATTACTTTTTGAGATACTCCTGAAGGTGTATTAAATTACAGTACATGCTCCACAGATATTTTTTTCCCTTGTTCCACTACTCTTAGGAAACTGTTCAAAAAGGAGAAACAAAAGCCCAGGTCTTGTAATCTCTGCTTGAATCAATCCTACTGGAAAGTCAGCTCAAAGGAAAAAGGAAAAGGGATGGTTGTCTGTGCTAACACAGACACTTACATAGAGAACATTCAATAGATTTTTTTAAAAAAACCTTTTCTACATAAAGATTTTAATTGTTAAAAAAATTACAAGGGTTTCAAATGGCAGTCTTTTAGAGATAATTTTGCAATAATTAACTCCAAGATAAATGAATATAATGCTTTATATTGTCAGTGTGAACAGAGGGGAAGAAAACTGGCTAATCCTCGGATTTCAGCAACAGAAATTTTTTGAGATTATGTAGGTGTGTCTGTGTGCGCACAGCACATATATTTGCACATATAACATTGGAAAATGTTGGGAAAATGATAAATTAAACCCGCTCCTAATACTGAGAATCCTACCATACTGGGTATTTATGTGAACTCCCTTTGTATTTTGTGGAGCTCCTCCACATCTGTAAATGAAGCTTGTTTACACTTTTATTTGGTTTTCTGTAACTGCACTCCTTGGATTACATATTCCTTTTTCTGGGCTTATGGCTCAGTATAACTTCTTATATGCAATGCAAACCGTGGGAAGCTCATAAAACCTAAAGAGGCACAGGTCCCGATTTTTGCCTTCAGGAGGAGCTGTTTCTTCAGTATTAGGAGAGCTGTTTCTTCAGTGTTAGGAGAGCTGTATCTTCGCACTTTCAGTTCTGCAGTTTCTTTTCTAAGCTTCCATGCATGTCTTTGCAGCAGTGTCTGAGGGGTAACAAGCACACAGGGGAAACCCTTCATTATTAAATAGCAGGATGACAGTAAGCATATAATAGTTGCATTGCTTAGTGATAAACCCATCCACGTAATAAATGTGTCTCCTGAGGAGGCAGGTCATGCTGGAAAGGGCCCTGCTGGGGCACAGACCTACTCCTGCTGTGGTCAGCCAGCCCAGCCTGCTGACAGCAGCTTCTCACCCGCTGCCTGCAGCGGGCTCCTCAGCCAGATGGCAAGCGGGGCCAGCAGGGTGTCAGTAGCTACTTTCTGCAAAACAAACTGCATTCATCATTTTCTGTGATTCAGATTTTGCAGAACATATTTACGAATGTTTGCAAAATGTTTCAAAATGAAGACTTTTGAACTGATGACCCTTTGGCCAGAATCCCAGCAGGGACCAGTGATCATAACACCACCGGCAGAGATGGTTTCCACCACAATCTATGATGTGGGGAAATACTTCAATCTTCCAAATGTTGGGCTACCAGTCTACAGCAAGTCACAAGGCTGTGTAGACGCCCGTAGGGTAGAACCACGAAGGCACACTGCTGACACTCCAATGAGAACACCAGTTGCTGCTGCGATTCCTTAGCTGTTGGAATTCTTGCCAGGTTTTGCCTTTAACCTGTGGGATATTTCTGTGTTATAGTCAACACAGTTCAGGTAAAGTGAACTAAATATTTCCGAGAACACTTAAATACTTCCAGGAAGTAGATAACTAACCAACCCCTGTAGTCCATAAGCACACCTTAGTTTAATAAGTCATCCGTTACTGAAGATTCTTGCACAGTTTTGTGCCTTTGGTGCTGAGTCTGCATGTCTCACAGTACCTTACACTATTTTGCTTCTTATCGCTATACCTTAAATATATATATTCTTGTTAAAATGATTTCTGAAAATTAACTGGTGGTGGCATCTAGCAAAAGAAAAGTATTTCGAATACCAGACTTGCTCCAAAAATACATATTCTTCACCTTTTCCTCTCTTATTTGTCACTCCTGTCAGTGGTTTTGGGTTGGTGGTCTTGGAAATTGAACCCTATGTCCTATTCTCTGGGTTGTAAAACAAGTCTAGACTGCAAAACCTAAAAGCAGACTTTAATAAAAAAAAAAAACACTGTTGAATATAGTTGTTTGAGCATTGATAAAGTTCAGCACTGTCATTTAGATGGAACACCTGAAAATCTTAAAATAAGAAGTTCAAATACAGTATTTTGTGTTAATGCTGCTCTTGGTGTTTGTTATACATTACACAGCATGTTAAGGACTTGGTGTCCTCTCCTGCAGCCATCAAAATGGAAGTTCATCTTTAAGCACATGAATACTGTCAAGGAATGCACGTAAAGGGTTTAAGTGTTTTGCTGGATTGAAGCCAGGGACTCAATATCTCATAGTATTGACCTCTCCTGGGAGGCTCTGCAACTGACTTTGGTTCTGTGCTTGGTGAGAATCCAACATTACAAATGGTAAGTGTCTGCTCTCAGAAGCTGGACAGGACTATGTGTTTTTAAATGTAACCACAACGCAGGTGCAGTAAGTACAGCCAGTAATTTCACAGAAATGCTGCAGATGTTTTAGGCTGTGTGTGCACTATAGCTATAGTCCAGAAGAGCATGGATGGGCTTGAATGAACTACTTGGCATAGTGAAGGCAATCAGCTGTCTTATAGTGTGGGTGTAAATCTTTGTGTAGTTTCTTCACCCAGCAAGCCAATGCCTTTCACAGAGCATGTCATGTGAAAAGTTCACCCTTGGTTCCCAGGCATTGTCATACCATGGCTGTAGACAAGAGAAGTGAACTGGGTTGGGTTTCAAAGGAGACTCCATCAAAGCACAGCTATTTCCTGGGACACCCTGTCTTTCTGATGAAGCTAAAATGAGTCACTGCAACTTTCTTGCTTCATTAAGGAAATATATTTCACATTAATATTTTGTATCACATCCTTGTTCCTAATTAAATATTTATTTTTTCCAGTTACAATATAGATGCAACACAGATTACAATCAGAGGACCAGATAACTTCCACAACCTAACACTTCACTCACATTGGAAGAAATTGGGCTAACTGTACAGTATTGTGGTTATCAGTGGGAGCAGGCAAGCAGTATTTTGTCATAAACAAACATCACTACACCAACGTATTTGTGGAGGAATCCATCTCACTTAATTTGAGGTGTCAAAGGATTAATTATGTGAATGTACGATCATGTTGACGGCTCCTTTCTTAGCCTAGAGAGTGATCGCAATATAAAAAGGACATGGAACTGTTGGAACAAGTCCAGAGAAGGTCCATGAGGATGATCAGGGGACTGGAGCACCTCCCGTATAAAGATAGGCTGAGGAAGTTGGGGCTGTTCAGCCTGGAGAGGAGAAGGCTGCATGGAGACCTCATAGCAGCCTCCCAGTATCTGAAGGGGGCCTATAGGGATACTGGGGAGGGACTCTTCACTAGGGACTGTAATGATAGGACAAGGGGTAATGGGTTAAAACTTAACAGGGGAAGATTAGATTAATATAAGGAAGAAATTCTTTACTGTAAGGGTGGTGAGGCACTGGAATGGCCCAGGGAAGTTGTGAATGCTCCATCCCTGGCAATGTTCAAGGTCAGGTTGGACAAAGCCTTGGGTGACATGGCTTAGTGTAAGGTGTCCCTGCCCATGGCAGGGGGGTTGGAACTAGATGGTCTTAAGGTCCTTTCCAACCCTAACTATTCTATGATTCTATGATTGTATGATCGCAATGCCTGTGGGCTGTGCTCCAGCTGCCTAGAAGAGGGTATGCTGCCAACGCTCTGATGGATCAGACATAATGAACTGTCAGTAAGCCACCATGAGGTAAGATGAACTCTGCCTTAATGGCAGGTACAGCTGTGACAGCTGCTTGGATGATGAAAGATTTTAATTAAGACGGGTTGCTGGGCCTAAAAAGCAACAGCTTGGTTTTACGTGCCCTTCTTTTTATTATCAGAATTCCCACTTTAGCCTCCAAAATAAACTGTGGTTTCTCCTTCCATGGCAGAAATCATAAAATCCCCATGTACATGAAGCCACCAGTGTCGTGCTTAACCAGTGCAGACTAGGGGCCATGTGAAAAGCTTATGCCACCCTGGACACACCCTGGAGAGCTGAGGCACCAGCAATGACACTTTCTTGTGTAATTTTATCAACCAAGCATGTTGCTTGGTTTTCTTTTTCTTTTGAATTCTGGGAACAACAGTAGCTAAACCACTTCCACCATGTCTGGTTGGTATTTGGTAGAATTCTGCTGAACAAGATGTGATTGAGCCACACTTTTCCGCCTTGTCTGTCAGCAGGTGGGAGTGCAAACACCAGAGTAGGTGATAGTGTCCTAGCACCAGTATTTACAAAGAGAGAAATAAATAAGTTGCTAAACCTCAAACCATATATCTTGTCCAGTTCAAGAGTCCATTTTTTGCAAGGGTGCCAACTGTTTTTGTGCCTGTGGCCTTCTTTTGAAAGGACAGACTCTTTGAGAAAGACTCCCTCTATTTGTCCCCACCATTTGTTTTTAAAGGCAGACTCAAAGATCTTCACTGATTCTTGGCTGCAGCAGGAACACCTGGGAGGGAGGGGCAGAAATGAAGAACATACCTAAACTTTCCCAGTCAAGTCTGGTTGTATAGGTGATATTTACCCTACAGATACACTGTCATATGCATATCACATGTGCACATGCCACATGCATTACTTAACACACCTGGTTCAGGTAAAGAGTGTGGCCAACTGACAGGATCCTACATACAAAACTCCAGGCAAGGATGTCTTTGGTGGATAATGGCTCTTCATGCAATACCGGCATCTCATTGCATTAGGGGGTTACATTTCCACTTAAAGCCTGCAGGTACAATGTGGGAAGATCAACCATGAGCTGAAGGGGCTAATAATGTTATCAGTCTAACTGCCTAATTAGATGTTAGAGGAGGATTATGAAGGTATGCACCCTGTGAGAAAAAAAGATTGTGCAAGCTTATCTACGTTACATTATTATTACAGTTGCTGGAAAGTAGTGATGGACACAGCCAGAAGCCTTTCTATATAAGCTAACAATGATGTTAAGTAATCTGCAAACAGCCCAAACATATTCGCATTGATACTCATGCATTTTGCACTTTCACAGGAAGGCCAGCAAAACTCTGCACTTCTGCCTTTGGAAGTCCTCTTAAGCTCAAATCCTATGAGAGGGGTGAGAACTGCAGATATCTGTGAGGAGCCTGCAATGTGGAGGAGTTCTCATAAAGATAAAACCAACCAAACATACAATCAAAAAAGTTTTAAATTTTCAAAGAGGTTTAATAGAAGTATATTCTGAAAAAGTATGACAGCAGGGTAACTCTAATTTCTAAATGCAGTAAATTTCTAAAATGCAGTAATAAAAAACTATTTAATCACATTTCATGCTGGGGTTTTTAAGAACATTGACCTCCATGCAAGTAATCCTGTGCTGCTGAGAGAATTACGAAATAGCAAAAAATCAGTCACAAATTTTCCTTCCTCTCTCCAAACAGAAAAGCTAAAATATCTCCTCAAACTTAGAAAAGCCCAGAAACAGTTGAACAATATAAGTTTGCTGGGTCATCTAGTCAAATACTAAGGTATGACAAGTCACAGCTGCTTCAAAGGCAGGAAGAGTTCACAGAAATATGTGAGATCTGTACTTTGTGTGTGTTTATTCCTAGTAGTTATGTTGGATTGAAGGTGTCCCTGCCTGTGGCAGGGGGTTAGAACTAGATGAGTTTTAAGGTCCCTTTCAACACAAAATATTCTGTGATTCTATGAAATCCCAAAGTGTAGATTTCCGGCAGCCTTTTTTTTTTTTTTTAAATAACCACACGAGGGAAGTAAGCCCTATCCTCAACTGACGGAAGTATTCTTCACCTCGGGTTCTGAAGATGTTGCTTTATGTGCCTGTTCAGTAACATGCAGCTGCTGCTTGCACACTGAGGACCTAATGTGAGACAATGCATTATCTCACCAAGTATTCAAAGTGAGAATGAGTGTGAAATCAGGATTCATGAAAACAAGACCATTTATTAGGGACCTATTATTGTGCCATTTTTAACATGGCATTCTTCTAGAGCATGTATTGCTCCTACATGGATTCTTTTTAAAAAGTCTTTTTTGTGTATTTATTTTTAAACTCAAAATCTGCCTGTATCGAGTTCATGATTCCAGTCATATTAGCTTCCTATGAAATCCACTTAAAATCAGTCTCTGGTAGAGTCATCAACACTTTGCTACAACCATTAGGCTTGTATTAGGATATCCTGAGAAACATTGTTCTACTGTTTTCATGGGTTTTGGTAGAAAGCAGTCTTTCCTTGCATTCTGTGATGTTTCACAGTATTTCTCTGGTACTCCGCATTTAAAATAGTTCAGCAAAGTCTTTGAAGGAGGAGTACACTTTCAGTCCCTTCTGTGACCACTTCAATTTCTTCTATATTGTCATATACAAGAATATTGAGACTTCTCAGTTCTGTATGCTTTTAATAATTCCATATACTGATGGCTTTCTTATCTTAGCCATTTTTTCATTGATTCTTCTGTTCCTTCATTAAACTTCAGGAACATATTTCTGCCTGGTGGTATTCTAGTAATTGATTAAGTCATCTCTGAGATTCTTAAACCATTAGTTTCTCAGGCACAAATGCAAACTAGACTTATTCTTACAGATGAAGGTGTAAAGCTCCAACATGCAGAACATGCGGCTTTGCTATAGTCATTTCCTCACTGACAGGATTTTGAAAAGCAGCCTGGCAGATAGGGCTTACCTAGGAAGCTGACCTACCTACAGATTAGTAAATAGCCCACGGAGTCATGTAGATTATAATTCTTCAGGTCCTGGAAAACTTGTTTGTGAAACAAGTTGATCTGTGCTTCCAGTTATCTTTCCTTATCTGTTCTTAGTGCTTCATGTGGTTTCGATGTGTGGTTGGAATACACAGAATTTGTGCTTGGTGTACGACCACAATAACTAAGCAGTACTTCACTGAACTGAACTACTCACAAAGTCCAGTGGATGCTCACTTCAGTTCAGAAAGTCAGCTGAACAGCACAAAAGTACTTCTACATTGCTTAGTTTACTTTCTGCTGCCCATCTTGATAGGAGCTGAAGTTAATGCTGGCAAATAGGTTAGTGAAAAAATTTTCTGTCTGTAACAATGCTTATTACTCACTAGGATGGTTTGATGAACATGAAGTTGTTAAACATGACTAAATACTTCAATTTCTCCAAAAACTGAAAAATATTATAGTGCTTTTCTAAGACATTTACCCACAGAGCCAATCTTTCATCTGCTTATGTTTACGTAGAGTACCACAAATTTCACTGCCTGCTGCATTAAGTGTAAACCACTTCTTCTAGACTTGCTTTGCTTTTAGATATGTAGACACAACAATGTGCTCAGGAAATATTAAATTATAAAAATATTATAAAAATTGGCATTTTGCCAATGAAGCAAGGCAGAAAGACCAGCATGATGATTTGTTCTGGAAGGGGCTTCCTTGTGCAGTGAGCAGAATGAATACAAAGACCAGAACAGAAGACTATGAGAATAAAACAACCTTAAACTTTTGAACCTGGCAGTTCTTCAGCCTTTGAGCAATTACCTTCTCTAGTAAAAACCAGCCATTGATTTTGTTGGTGTCAGTTTCTGATGAGGTAAAAAAAAAAAAAGAAAAAAGAAAAAACCAAAAAAGTTAAAAATACAGATCCTGGGTTTGAAGCTGTAGTTTGAGCATTATAATTGGGATCCATCTGTTGTGACACTGTATTTAAAGCACATTATTGGACAGTCCGCTAACTAGTTCATCAAACTATGCTGCTTCACTCTTGGAGAACCAGGCCTTGTATCAGGATGTTCTCACTGTGTCATAGGCAGTTACAAAATTTCATCATAACTGTGGCTATTGCCCATTTGGGGTACTATTTGTGAGTATCTGGCACTGCTTTGTCAGCTGTGCTGCTCCACTCACCCCCAGCAATGTTCCTGGAGATCACTAGAGAGGTATGGCAATGTTTGCTTGCCTTTTAAATACATGTGTTTCCTCTCTTCCCACTAAGGATGCAAGAAGTTTCAGTATCATCAAAGCCAGCAAAGGCAACAGGGCACAACAGAGGCTGGAGGTGAGGAAAGTGAATACCAGAATCTCCAACAAAGTTCATACAGGCAGAGTGAGGAACTAAAATACCTTTATGCATTAGCACAATGAATCAATAAAATTGCTGTGATATTTGCTACCACAAGTACACAAGCATACCAGAGTATCGGATGAGGAAGATGGTCAGGTGTGGAGGACGCTGAGGCCCAACAGTTGTGGCAAAGACAACACAGAGCATCATGCCATGCTAGACCTGCCCCTAGCAGCAGCCTACACACCACTACTGCAGGTGAGGAGCTGCTTCAGTAACTTGGGTGTGCAGTATAACTGTGCAGGGAGACTTAAACAGCTTTTCTTCCAAGCAAACATTGTCCATGCCCAAGCTGCCTCTAACTTACTTTCTCATGTCCTGCTCCAAATTCTGGAGAATCTTTTTCCCTCTTCTTATCCACTCAGCACTCTGCTTTGCTTGAGTTGGTGGTACTATAGATGTTAAAGGAAATACATTGCAAATAAATTATGCTTTATTATGGCTGCAGATATAGAAAGATAAGGAAATTCAATAGAAAAGGTACAAAGGTAGGTTTTAATTGTATGTACGTGTGCATTTGGCTTTGACTGAAGACAAGACTTGCATACGCTGCAAATCTACAGGGTCTTAAAATCTCTTGGCTACGCATTATACATCTCAAACAAAGTCTGTGGAATTGAGCTCATATTGCAGCCTGTTTATAGAAATCTACTGCTACAATAAGAGAGCAACTACAACACAGAGAGTTTTTACTTTGGCATGAATATTATACTGGAAGTTAGCTACATTTCAGACTTTGTGTAGTTAAAATACCTTTTTCTTTCCTGAAACAGTAGTTGGGCACTATGGGTCGATGTTTGATTGCCGTGATTATGGTGTCCTTGCAGACCTATGTGGGAAGCAAAGTGACTACGGTGTCCTTGCAGACCTATGTGGGAAGCAAACAAACGAGTTCTGCTTCCATCTGATAGATTACAGCAGGAAATAGTATACACAGTATCTGTTGCCCAATGAGGGGGAAAACCAAAAAAAATAAATCTGCAATACAGACTCCTTCAGTTACGCCTCACAATTGAAACTGTTAAGGAAAACTATGCTATCAGTTTGTGAGCAACTGACAGTCTGAGTGAAAGATTTTCAACTGACAGTGGGTTTTCCTAAATATTTCACTAGTGCACATAACAGTGTCTTCCCAAAAGCGTCTGCCAAATCCTTCAATCTGAACAAATGAGCCTCTAAATAACTTTCCAAATAATCTTTACATAAATCTCTACTTTTTGCTAAAAAAATAATGGTGTGTATTTTCAAGCCAGAGAGTTTTCTTTCTCAAAGTTTATCAGAGTTTAGGGAGCATCACAAACACAACCACTATTAGGTTGCAACATTCACCATGGCTTTTTCTCATACACATTGACCTTTATATTGTATTTTTGACTTGTTCCCTTACCTTAGAAAACCTCCAGCTACATATTTTCCTTTCAAAGTTTGGCCAGCCTCTTTGCTACTGTTAACATAACCTTAGGTACATGCTGTGAGGATTGTAAGTCATGTCCTTCATACCTGGGATGTCATTCATTGTCTCACATCTGGGATGATATCAGGAGATTTGTATTCCTCACTCAACGTGACTGTGAGGACAAAGACAGAAGTCAGAAATACGCAGAGTTAGAGAAAAAAAAGTGAAACATTAGAAGGAGAAACTAAAACCAGCATATCTAAAATTCTGTGTGGGGGGCAGATTTGTCACTTGCTGTTCCTACCAAACAGCCTCTTGATATGTCTCGTTCTGAGTGGAGGATCCCCTACAAGCTTGCCCGGAAGGGCTATCTCATCTCTATGCCTTGGCATTGCTATTCATTTTGCTCTTACTGATCAATATGTATTAAAAATAACTTGGAGAGATAATCAATTGCTTGGAACATGGTGCTTTGGGTATGCAAATGTCACTTAATTTCTTTTGGACTCTTCTGCCAAAGGTGCTCAGGCACTTTTAGAAAATCTCAGTGGAGTCTACCCATGGTTGCTTGACTGTAAATTTAGCATTTCCTGAAAAACTTAGGTATCTGCTAAGTTTATAGACATTTTGGTAAGCAGCATATTAGACCTATCCCCTTCTCAATGGATATTGATTAGTGCATGTGTTTACTTAGTCCCACAGTCATCTCTTCAGAGGTAATGTTAATACAGGTAAGAATATCTTGGGTGTACAAAATAGCAATAGCAGACACTGGGAGCATAACCCCAGCCATGGAGAATTCTTGGATCAGACCTGGGGCTATTAGGTGGGTTTTCACCACCCAAGAAATTGTCAGTGTATAATTTCTAAAGCAGTAACATATTACTTACCAGTTAAATAGCATCTACAAGTGTTCACTTTCCAAGGAGACCATAAAGGCTACCTAGTTTGACAGAGCACTGAAAAGATACTCTTATTTTCATTAATAAACTCTAAGCAAAACCTGTGGTATATTCTGAGTGATGATTTTGCTATTCCTTAATCAATGAATTTAAAAATAAAATGCTTATTCCACTCAAGAAAAATTAATAAACTAAAAGCAAATAATCAGTTCGAAAAATTATATTGTTTAGGAGAAGAGGGTTGTATTTATTTTCCCAAAGCATCTTTCTGCTGTTGCAATCACAAATGCACACTATGATCTCTCCTGGATCTGACTGCCACAGGGTAGACTGATAACCCTTTTGCTAACTTGTCAAATGAGGCTAGTAGTATCCATTTTATCTGGTTAAAAAAAACAGGGCAACACACAGCAAATCACTCTATCCTGTTTAAGTATTTGTTGAGCTGTTACTGTATCTTCACGAGAAAGTATTTAAGAATGGACAACGACCAAGGCAAATCAAAGTCTGAGACATTACTGTGCTGGCAGAGCTTGGTGTTACTCAGTGCAACAACAGTGTCTGAGATGGTTGACTCATAGCAATAAGGAGGCCTGGAAGATAGGAGTGGTCTGGAACATGTAAACTGAAATTTCAGTCTGCGGAGGCACAGATAAATATGACTTGTCATTTATTATTTTGATTTCTTTGGATTACAAGATCATAATTAATTGCTAGGGAAGTCTTACAGCACCGAACACATGTGGGCTGTGCTGACAAGACTTGTAATATTTTTTTTAGAAATTAAAAATATGTCAGTTACAGGGGAAAAATTGACTTACCTTTGCAAAGCAATGACAGGTTGCTACAGAAACACAGGCCACACTGCAAGCCTCTAGGTGGCCACAGTTGCAGCCATGAGAGGCAGAATCATCTTACGCCCTTAACTGAAGAAACATGGTTAGCAGAGAAGATAGAGAGCTTCAGCAGTGTACATTGCCACAATAAAAGACACAGAATGTTCTGATTAGAACAGTCTTACAAAAGTACCTGACTTGCTCTTTGTGGGTTAATAGATGAACAGAGCCTGACCTAGGAATCAGTGTCAGTACCACTGGGACCCATTCACAGGGTTATCTGCCAGCTAAACAGAGCCAAGGCAGGTTTTGCCAAGTTGCAGTCTACGCAGCCTTATGTAATGCAAAACATTTCATGTCTTCACTAAGGTTAGCTGCAGGAGGCTTAGAATCATATTGAAGTAAGCACTCTAGCTTGGTGTTCCTTAATTCATGACAGCTTGCACAATTACTTGGAAAACAAAATAATTAACACCCGCATCTATTCCCAGCTGACTGATCCCTCCTGATTCCATGTGTAAATGAAAATGTAGACTGCAGACAGATATGTACAAAACTCCTGGTATAATAAGCGAAAAAAGATTTGGGCAAATTTTTTTATATTTCAAATGAAAAAGGCACCTGGAAGACTGAAAAAAAAAAAAAAAAAGACCCAAGAAGACATTCACACATAACAGAAAACATACAGGGGTTTCTTCTAAGCTATTAATTACCTTCTTCTAACTGTCTGCTATGGCCAAAAATACAAAGATATGGATATTGCTGAATCTGGGGGTGTAGCTGGGTTTGTAGTGATTTATTCTTTTGTTTTCTTTCTCCCCTGCTCATATGAATAGACCTGAATCTATCTTCTTTTTCTCATCCTCCTCTTGCTTTCATCTAAGCTTTGTTTACTTCTGAAAGAATAACATCTTAAAATTGCATCATTAGGATGAGAAGACTAGAAAGGAAAATTCTGACCAGAAGGGGGTTTTCTTTTCATTGGCATGGCATGATCTTAAGTGTAAGGGAGAGGCTTAATCTCTAGTGTCCATGCTTCTGGATTTGGTCACATGTTTTTGTGCTTTGGAGGCTCCAGCCACATCCTGGAAATTGCAGCAGGCAGAAGTATGTTGTGGGTGGGTCTGCCCACAAGGGAAAAATGCATGAATCCCAACTCATAATAGTTCAAGGAAGAGACTTCATACTCACACCACTGCAGCCTGGCAGGGCCATAACCTCCTTCTGGGACAGAGCAGTCTTCCTGCTATTATCATACCAGAATCAAGGAGAGCTTCAGATACTCAAGCTCTGAGCTCTTGAAAGTGACCAGTCTATTACAAATTTAAAAAGTACTCATTTCAAACTGAGGCTGATACATATGCTTTTATTTTAATTACTTTAATGATTTTGTATTTTTTAAAGAATGCAATTACTTTTGCTGAGATGTATTGAGTGTACTTATTTCCTTCAAATCCTAGTATCTGTTGGAGCAGGGAGGCTGGCTTATCTTCCCAGGGAGGCCAAATTGGCTCCATAGCCTCACTCCAAACATCCAGCTTAGGACTTCCACACAGAAGGGGCCGTGACTGAAAGCTCTTGCTGGCCTACACCTTTTGACAGCCCCTACACAGCCCCATCAACACAGGGGCTCTGTGCTTGTGCTGCCTCTTAAGGATCTCATTCACCCACTGCCTCAAACTAGCCAGAACCCATGCTCAAAAGAGAAAACCACCAATGAGGCTTCCCATGCAGACCTGAGCCAGGAGTGAGAGTTGTTAGTGGCCTTCACCTTCATTTGAGGCCCTAATCACAGCCCCACCCTCATGCATGTTCTGTGCTTGCATAGCCTCCAAAGTATTTACCTGACCTGCTGCCTAACTCTAACCACAGGCCAAAAGAGAGAACCTCCACTGAAGTTTCCCACTCAGAATAGGTCAAGGCTAAAGCTCTCAGTTTTCCTTGGCAGTCCACTCACATAATCACAAATACTAGTGCTTTGCACTTTCTTTTCCACACCTGCACCTCACCCTATCCAAAGCTTTGGTTCAAAACAGAAAGTTCTCCAGCTTGGGCTCCTGCTCAGGAAGGGGCCAGGACATAAAGCTGCTGCCGGCCTGCACCTTCTCTTGCAAGGCCCATCAACATGGGGATCTGAACGTGTGCTGCCTTCTAAGGACCTCCCTCACTGACTGCCTCACTGTAGCAGAGCCCAGGTCCAAAACAGAAAACCTCCAGCACAGGTTCCCAGATGGAAGGCACCAGAGGCAGCAGCTGCTGGCCCTCACCTTCCCTTGGAAACCCATTCACAGCCCCACCAACGGCGCTGATGTGCATGTAACTTCAACGCCAAACCCTCCGCCTTGCCAGAGCCCGGGAAAGTAGAGGATAGCCATTGCACAGGGCTTCATGCAGAAGGGGCTGGGACTGAAAGCCGTTTGTAGATCTTCATTTTCCATGGCAGTACCTTTCACAGCACCACCAAACAGGTCCCCAGCATGCAGTGCCTTCCCAGGGTGCACCTCTTCCCACACACATTTACACGCCGAGGCCTCTCCTCGCAGTCCCCAGCTCTGCCTTCCCCAAGGCAGCTGTACGATCGCGGAGACGGCGGCTCCAGAACTAGCCTGCCGCAGACTCACATCCTCCCCCTCAGGGCTTCCCTTTCCCCGTGTCCCGGGGTCACAGCCCGAACTGCCAATTACAGCCCAACCCGCGCCTCTCCGCGTATCAGCGCCCACCTCGCTTTCCGCCTCCGCTCCGCCCACATGGGCCGCGCCCTGCGCCTAGCTCCCTGCCCCGTCCTGGGCCCGCCCCTCCGCCTCCGAGAGCCAATGGGGGAGCGGGCGGCAAAGCGGGGTGTGCGAGGGAGCGGCGGTTGCTTGCTCGCACCGCTGTCCTCCTTAGCCCGCCCTGCCTCAGTGCCGGTAGCCGCCATTCCCTCAGCAGGTGAGCGTGAGCGTGCGTGTGTGTGCGCGCGGGAGAGGGGAGCCCCGGTACCCGGCAGCGAGCCCCCGGTAGATGTGGGGCGCAGGTCCACGGCCGCCGGCTTTCCCGGCGCGGCTGGGCTCAGCTCCGGCGCCTGGGAGCTCCGGCTGTGTCAGGGGAACGGGGTAGGGGAGAGCGGTGGCCGTGTTCAGAAGTGCCCAGCTGATTCACTGCGGGCTTCCGCCCTCCCCCTCGCTTCCCTCCTCCTTTCCCATCCAGGACGCGCCCACAAGCGCACCGCCGTCCGCGCTGGGACTGAGGGAGGACGAAGATCAGAGTCAGGCGGACGGGCTCGGTTGGTCTGGTTTTAACCTAATTATTATTAGGGCAAGCGTGAAGCTGCGTGGTAAATGTGCGAGTGCGCCGGGTGCTGTTTCCCTAAGCGGGATTGTCCTTGCGGGAGGAAAGTGTGACAACGCAGGGAGGGTGGTGGGAGCGGGGCTGCATCCCGGCGATGCCGGCGGGCCAGTGAGGGAGGAAGGAAGGGCCCTTACAGTGTCCTTGGCATCCAGCTTGCCTTTTCCCCTGGCGTGTGGATTAGTGCGCTACTGCCGCAGATGAGGGAGCGGGAGGAGGCACGGGGTAGCAGGAGAGTCACCGATCCACGAAGATGACAGCGGTGACCCGCAGCTTCGAGGGTTAGTGGCGCTGCTTTGACCCTTTGCCAGGACGAGTTTCAGCTCTGTAGAAGTGTGCGTGCAGCTTGATGTAAGCTGTGCGTTTGCAAGTGTGCGTAAACTGAATACTAAGTGTGTGTGTGAGAGAGAGAGAAAGACTAGTCCGTATGTTCATGTGATTGCAAGAAATGAAACCTCTAAAAACTACAGTCGCTGCAAACTGCTTTTGAGATAAAACACTTTCTGTCTGTGTTTTTTTTCACGGTGTGGTAGGTTTACTGGCTGCTAGTGCTAATTAGACTTGTTGCAGAAGGTATGTTAAGATTTTTGCAGCATCTCGGAACTTTTTTTTTTTTTTTGCCTCATTTTTGCACAGCTTTCATTACTTCCACTATGTTTTTCGGCTTAAATAGAAAAAAAAAAAAAACAACAAAACAAAAAAAAAAAAAACAAACAAAAAACGAAAACCAACCTAAAATATGACTTCAGTTGTAATAGATCCATACTAGTGTTGATGGGACAGTGACAGGAAGCGCCTTGTCTGGAAGGAGAAAAGTGCAAAGCAGCATCAAAACAAATATTTCATTCTTCCTCTTACCTGGCAATTTGTCAGCACTTAAAGGACAATCGCATTGGAACTCTGCAGTCCAGAAGAGGTTACTGGACAGAAAACTACTGCTTCCTTAACACATCTTTGTAGGAGTGTAGCACTGAGAAATGGGAAGATCTAATGCTTGCTTTCTCCTTTCCTTAAGCAATTGTATTTTCCTGAGTGTCAGACCTCTTCAATTTCCTGATCTAGAAGCTCTTCTTTGCGTTTTCTGGCCACTGTGAATGGATGCTATATAAAAGAAGTATTGTAGTCTTCAGTGGTAATTAGCAGTTTCTTTTCCTGTTTTGACCATACTGATATGTAAACTAATAATTACCAGCTAATAATAGCACGGGTGATACTGGAGGAAAGCACTATGTGAATCTTTATTAGTTTAGGAAATGTATTACATGATTACGCAGGTACAGGGCTTTGTCACAGCTGTGACTTGAAGAGCTCTCAGATCTAGTTAGCTTTCAAATCTGGGGATGTCACAGCCTTGATTCGAGAGCGCCTTCCACGTATAAAACGTTAATCTTGGTTAAAGAAAACTAACGTCAAGCAACAGAGGGGTTTTGGCACTGAACCGGAATAGGCACAGTTCAGTTGCACAAGACAAGTGCACCTTTTTTTTCTCCTCCTGGGTTTGAGATGTCATCGCTTCCTCCATGGCCCGCCGCCCTGCTCCCGGGACTGCCGCGGCCTGCCTCTGGCAATGCCCAGGGCCCCCAGGGGCGGGGGAGACCGGTGCCGGTGCCCGGGGCAGGGCGGGGCCGAGCCGTTGTTGGCCTGTGCGGTGCTGCGGCGGCGCGACCTTTCCCCTACTTCTTGGGAGTGGTCACGTGAGCAGGCGCGGCGGGCGGAGAAGGGGTTGAGCCGGCAGATCCCTGCGGCGCCGCGCACGCTGCGGAGCGAACACAACCAAGTGCCGGCTCTGGAGCGGCCGGCGAGTAGGTGTGTGCTGGCCGCGGATCGTGCTCGTTTGCTGCGTGCAGGGGTAGGCTTTCCCGAGAGTGACGGGTTTTGGAAAAGCTTGGGTAAAAGGCGACCTAAGTAAATACTTGTCTGTAACACAAAACAACCAACAAGCAACAACCAACCTCCTCCCCTCTCTCCCCAGCTGTATTTTTAAAAATATTCCCAAAACCGTTTTATTTGTTCTGCAGCATGCTGTGTCATAGTCCTGAACTATGATCAGAGGGCTGGAGTGCCTTTCCTATAAAGACAGGCTGGGAGAGCTGGACTTGTTCAGCCTGGAGAAGGCCGCAGGGAGACCCTAGAGCAGCTTCCAGTGCCTAAGGGGACCGACAAGAGATCTGGAGAGGGCTTTTGACAAGGGCACGTCAAACAGGATGAGGAATGTCGAACATGACAGGCAAGGGTGAATGGCTTTAAACTGATACAGGGAAGATTTAGGAATGTGATATTAGGAATTTACTGTGAGGGTGGTGAGGCCCCAGCACAGTTTGTCCAGAGAAGCTGTGACTGCCCCATCCCTGTCAGTGTTCAAGGCCAGGTTGGATGGGGCTTGGAGCAGCCTGGTATAGTGCAAGGTGTCCCTGCTCATGGCAGGGGTTTGGAATTGCATGAGCTTTAAAGGTCCCTTCCAGCCCAAATCATTCTTTGATTCCACATGTTCAGAAAAACAAGATCTAAATGACTGAAAAGCAAGCCTGGATTTTGAATAGTCAATTTAAATATTTTAAAAAATGTTTGGAACCAGTTATTCAGTCATTCAACCCTGTACAGGCTGAAAGACCTTATTCAGGTCTTTCCACCTTGTACAGTAAAGTATCTACTGCAAGAGCAATCCATTCAGTTTGCCTTTGGTCACCAAACATTGTCTCTCTTCCAGGACCTGCAGAGTCTTAAAATGTGACATCATGGATGTCTCTTAGAAGTCCTGCCATTCCAGAAATATTTGCTGTTACAGTGAAGATACTAATTCTTCTTTACTGCATGAGCATAGAAGCTCATTAATGCAAGGAGAGTGAGAGAAGGGATAAAACTCATATAATCTAAATGCTTAGTTTTGTTTTTTATAGTAATATTAAAAAGAAATACCCAGATGTAGAGCCTACTTTTTAAAGGGGGGGGGGGAGGAGGCTTCTGCATTATATGATGACTGCCAGTGGTTTAGTTTTATATGCTTATCTCTTACTCAGCAAGATTATTCTGAATTTCTAAAAAATCAGACAAGGTAGCTTGCTGGGATGTGTACAGTAATAACATGTACTGCAATAGAGACTAGAATAATCTATGAGTTCTAGGAAGAGTATAGGAAGTCCTACCCTCTATACGGGAGAAATAACCTGTAAATAATATGACAGTTGTAAAAAAAATATTTTTATGACATTTGTGGAGCATGTCAGTGTTTTGGAGTCTTTTTTTTTTTTTATTGAAGTGTACATTTCTAAAGCATCTTTTACAGGACCATCCTATTTGAGAAAATGAGAGGCCATATGATTCAGAAACTGTAGGGATTGATATTCCTTTGTGTTAGCCTAGTAACTAACACATTGTTTACTGTAGCTAGTCTTCCTTACTACTTTGCCTGTCACAAGTTCGATTAGGTGAGAAGACAACTTATCTGTGGCTTTTCTGCTTAAAGTACCAGTGAAAACAGTCTGTTCTGTGAACATCTCTCCAAGAAAACTTAATGGCATGTGTTGACTGGAATGGATGTTAAAAGTTTGCAGGCAAACACTTGGATGTCTCAAACTGAAGTCTGAAACTAGAGCTGGAGTCTAGCCCCTGAGATGTACTTGCTTATCACACTAGCTAGTGTTCACTATTGAGCCCTCAGAAATAACTAAGTGGGTAGCAGATGAACAAACTTTCACTCCACAGTTGCTTACCAACTCAGTCCTGTTAAATGAAGACAGATTGATCTAGACAATACATTCATCCAGTGCAATGGAAAGCCGTGTTTCCGAACTGCTGTTTGTGACTATTCACCCCATTGCCGTCAGTTTTTCTAAAGTGCTTCCAGTCTGATCCAGTCCCTGTGAGCGGTTGAAAGCTGTGTGTGAATTAAAGCTCAAGCTGTTTTTCTTGACTTTCTGTTTCAGAGCTGCAACTGACTGCCGTTGCTGTAGTGTAATGTCTATTGAGAGCTAGAAGTATTGGAATGAATCTGCCTCTTATTGTGTCCTAACCCATTCAAGATTCCTGCTGCAGTGAGCTTGTTGGACAGAAGATTTGATTTCTGTGTGAGAAATAGATCTCAAGTCTGCTTTTAAGGAAGACAGCTGTTCAGGTATGCTTACATTTCATTCACTGATCTGTCTGTTGTTGTCTCTTCCCTTCCATATATACTCATCCCACTTTACTACTTGGGAAGGGGATAAAGAAATTGGCCCAAGATTCCAAAGGAGTTGCCTGCAGAGTGTAGCTAATATTCACCCACAGATGATCTTGGAAAATTGCTGAGGACAAGACACAAGCTGATAGGTTTCTCAATAGGACAGCAAGTTACTGCAAGCTCTTTAGCTGTTCTGATTCCAAACTGTATGCTGTAAGTGATGTTTGCAGTAGGTCACAGTGTTGCCATACCTGGGAAAATACATGTTTTTAGTTCTCCACTTTGGCTTGAACTACAGCATGTTTTAATTTTTTAGGTGTGAGAGATTCTTTAAGGCGCTTACAATTCCAAGGGATCACAGCTGTCAGCTGTAGATTAGAGTGAGAATGTCTGGAGCCAATGGTTAGCAATAACCAAAGATGAAAAGTTATGCGTCAAATGATTGCTGTTGGAGGAGAAGCTTTTGTCTCTTTCCAAGTGACCTAAGCCACTTCAGTCGTAGCATAATAATTTTACTTTGGGGACCCTGTGAGAACTACCACATAAACAACAAATTCAGCTTTTAGGAGGCTTAAACTGATTTTAATTTTAAAACTGTGTAAGTCAGACACAATTAAAGTGGCATGGAAGAGCCTCTCAGTTTAACTTCATTTGCATCAATCAATTATGATTTGATCTGAATGCCATGTTAATTCAAGTTTTAAAAGCGATTCTTTGGTTTCTGATTTATTTCTATTCCATAGTAATTAGATTTACCTGAGAAGCCCTGTTGAATTAATTTAATCTACATGACAATTTATTGCATAGAAGTTATTTGGCTTAACTCCTTTCAGAGTTCTTGTAATGAGTTTGTGCCTGTAGAATATGATTAACCATTACAAGGTAGGTGAGTTATTGGTAAGACTTAAGAGCAACAGGTATCAGTATCCTGTATGCTTAAACATGATTAGATATTATTGAAGGTTAGTATGCAAGGAAGACATAGAAATTCTCCAGGGAATAACAGCATCTGGTTAATCTTTATAGTGAGTTCAGAAGTCAGTGCCTTGCGGAATACCAGGTGAACTGTGAATAACCTGTCTAATCTGTCTGAGACTTTGATACCTTGTTACCTTGTTACAAAAGTGTAGCATACACTGTAAACAAGTAGCATTAGCTAGTAAAATGTCCAAGAAACAGATACAAAAGGAACCTGAGTCTTTCTAGTCATATGTTCAAATGTTTGAGCTGTATATTTTGTACTGCTTACTGAAGATTTTGTAGATCAAAACCTGTATTTCCTTTGAAAGGCATAAAATTCTAGACCACTCTGATCTTTGGGTTCCTGTTAAACTGAATGTTTTGGCTTTAGTTTTAACTTTGTGCATCTAAAGAGCACTACATACACATGAGTAAAAGCAGTTTTGGTATCCTTTTGACATTCTCTGGTTAGCTGCCTTACTTAGTTGATCCTCTAGCATTAGGGGCAGGATTATTTGGGTATTTGTGTCAGATAGTTATGGGGAGGCAGTTACTCCCATAAGAGCAGATGGGACCTTGAGTTGCTGAAGTCGCACACTACAGTATATACTGTAGAGCATATACTGTACTGACTGAAACTGTTGCATTTATAGCAAATTCCATGAAAACATTTTAATGACTTAATATTGACTCATCCTATTAAATTAAGAAAGCCTGTATTATCAATACTAAAACCAATGTTTCTTCTAGATACATATATAGATGTAACATTGGATTTCAATGGCTTATTTTTCATCAGGAGTTTGTACTGTTTGCTTCCATATTACTGCAGTATATATGGCACTTAGGGTCAGTTCCAGAAATCTACCTGCTGCCTTAGATCTAGCAGACTCTCATTGGACAGCATAATAGTGTTTAAAATATCGACACACACTTAAGAACTCAAAATGACATGCTGGGGCTTTCTAGTGAGGGAAAAATTACTGGAATAATGTTGAAAAATTAAGATGAATCATTGCCTGAAAAGTTCATGTAAAATCTCTGTAAAAATTCTACTGCAAAATCCAGCTTCTTTTATCTTCCAAACTAATAGTACATTTTTGTCAGTTGTAGAAAATTTGCTCTTTTTCAGTGTTTGACTGTTACTACCAATTTAACTTTCAGGGTGTTCTGTTCATTTAGAACAACTGAAGCACAGGATTTCTTGTTCAGGCCTTAGTGTTCTAAAGTAAGATTTTTCTTTCATTATTGTTTTTTAATTTCTTTTGATTTTTTAAAGCAGATCTCTTATGAGGACTCCTACATTAAATTTCATGACCTATCTCTGCTAGGTATACCATTAAAACTGTACTAAAAATAGGATTGATGCTTCAAGCCCTTAATCCTCTTAGTGGCTCTTCACTGGACTCTTTCCAATAGTTTCATCTCTTTCTCTTACTGGGGAGCCCAGAACTGGGCACAATATTTGAAATGGAGCCTCGACAGCACTGAGTAGAAGGGAAGAGTCACCCCCTTCAATCTGGTGGTAACACTTCTCCTAATTCACCATAGGATTCTGTTTGCTGTCTTTGCTGCAATGGCACCTTCCTATCTTGTGTGCAACTTGCTGCAGAGCTGTTTTCCAGCATTCAGTCTCCAGTGTGTACTAGTGCATGGGTTACTCCTCCCTAGGTACAGGACATGGCCCTTCTGTTTATTGAACTTTTATAAGCTTTCAGCCTGCCTGTTTCTCCAGAGCCTGTTGAGGTCCATCCGGATGGCAGAGAGATCCTCCCTTGTTTCAGCCCCTGTACTCATAAATCCATCTGCAGTTTGGTCCTTTCCATATTTCTTTTTTTATTTCTTTTTTTTTCCTCAACTTTTTGACAGCTACTGCTTTTGCATCGAACATCTGGAAGTGTCAAACTGATAAACTTCAGAACTTCTGCAGATTTTGGACAGGTGAAGACATACTTGAAGAATGTTACTAAGACAGCAGCACTTAAAGTGTTTTGGAAGACACTAACCCTTTGCATTTGCATAAGAATAGGTCCTGTTGCTTGATATAAGTGATACATTTTGGGGCGGTTGGAGAACTTTGAGTATTTTTCAACAGAAACAAACTTAAGCAACCTTGATTATCTGTAGACTGCATCTACATCCGGTATGCCTGTATAGATCAGTGTTGCCATTAAACTGTGGTTGGTGGCAAAGTGTGGAAGTAAACATTCACTAGCAAGTAATTTTGGGATGGTGGTACTGGCTTTGCTGTGCTTCACTACATAAGGTAGTCTGACCTACCTTGTGTAGGTGGTATGAAAGCTTGGGCTGACAGAAACATCCATAACAGAAATTTGAAGAGAAATTTGGAATAATGCATTAATAGATTTGGCTGGACATCTCAGTGTTTGGAATTCTCTCGCTTTTAGTTTAGCATCTGGTATGAAATTAACAGATTTGAGCTTAAAGAATTACTCATTGATTTCTACAAAACAGAATGCATTAACAGTTTTTGTCTTCTAGGACAGCAGAAAATGCAGATTTCTAGTAATAGAATAGTGTTTTCGATATTTAAACAAGTTCCAGAAAAGTCTCCTCTTAAGAGAAATTGTTGGAGCTCCAGAATTGTTTTCTGTTCTGTATGACTGCTTGAAACATTCAAGCAGTAACTCTTACTGCTTTGGATGTTGATAGAAATAGAATTCCACCCCCTTTTTTCCTTGAAATAAACTGTTCTGGGGACAAAGACACTGGAGCACTTGCTTGGTTTCCCAAGAACTTCTGAATTCAAGGTGTCTAGCTTTAAATGGAAATCTCAGTATAGTTCTAAGTATGTTTCTTAACTAAATTTGGCTTTAATATACTTTCAACCACTATCTCTCCTCACTTCTCATCTTTAAAACTTCCTTAAACAATGTAATTGTAATTGATGCAGTACCCTTGTTTTTTTTCTGCACCAGTCTATCCTTATGTGAAACCTGAGTGCCAAGCTAAATTTTGAAGTTGTAAGTTTATTTTTGAAAGGGAGTGAATTCTTTAAGGTCAGTTTTTTTGTTGGTTTTGCTGCTTCTCATTTCTTTATTGGTGATACCTTGCAGCTGTATGTTGTTACGAGGGCTTCCAGGTGCTTCAGAATTCAGAACTGCCATCATACTTCAGGATGCAGCATGTTCTAGCTCTTAGCACAGGCACGTGTAATGCTGCAAGTCTACTCACCATCTATGAGTCAATGGCTTGAGTGCCAGAGATGTCTATTTGAGGGCTCTAAAGGTATTAAACCTGTGTGGGGTGGTATGTAGCAGTGCTCTTGGAGAAACTGTATGCAGCAGTCAATGCTTTTCCAAGACAACAGTCAACCTTTTATTGCCAAAGTAGAATAATTGGAAATAATTGTTTTGTGAGCTTAGTTTGGTTACTGACAGGTGTATGTCCTGTATATCTATAAATAGGTATCAAAAATCGGTGAGGAGACCCTCAAAGTAAATTGTTGAGGTAGCTTGAAAGTGAGGGTTGTAGAATTACGTCTTTCATCAAGGTTTTGGCTGTTCTGAGTCATGTGAATAAGACTTTTCTGCAGTTTTCTTCTTCATTTGTTAACTTGCTTTGCAGGAAAAAGAGCTATAGATGTGAAAACTACATTAGTTAAATAGTATGTCACTTTCTGGTGGTTGGTTGGGCTCCTGCCAAGGAGAAATGTCAGGTTTCCTCTATTCTAAGAGGAACAGGACATGAGGGGTTGGAAATTGCATAAGCCAAGCAACATATGGAAAGCAAGTGGCTAAGATGAGCTCTGAGGTAAGAAGGTAAGAAGTGGCATCCCCTCAAAGCAGAGGAGTTGCTTTTTTTGAGATAGAGATGGTGACTACTTGGTGTTTTGGTGTGGGTTTTTTTTTGTTCGTTTGTTTTTCATTTTGGTGGGTTGTTGTTTTTTGGGTTTTCTTTAGCACTCATTTTATCCGTATAAAGCTTATGAAATCTACAGAAACAAACTCAATAGCATTTCCAAAATTAACGCTTCAGGAATTAATTCCTTGTTTTGTGCAATGTACTGTAATACGTTTAATTTTTGCCTCATGGCTTGGTGCTTTTTAAGATGCACGTAGTAATTATTTCACTGTCTTTTAGACATCGTGTTCTGTGTTATGTTCTTCAGAGGGAGATGTTACCAACCACAGGTGACTTCTTGCATGCCTGACTAAATGGAAGCATCCTACACATGGGATCTCTTTTAGCTTCAGATTTTCCAGGGCTGAGGCCCTCATCTTCTCCTGTGGTTACAGGAGCATGTAAACCCCAATAGAGAGCTGACTATTCAGTGTCTGCCTGAAATCATAAGGTCTGTGTGCAGTCTGAGAGTTAAACCTCCATCTTCATAGTATAAATATCCTGAAACTGCAGAAACAGCAGTCTGAGGAAGCTTCATACATAGTAGTCATAGCAGTATAGTTTTTCAGAACATCACGTCTATCAGGACTCGGGCCTTCTGGTGTGCTATGTGTTTTCTTGACTTAAAAGTGACATTTAACCCATGGAAAAAGATGTGGTAAGTTTGGATTGGCTCAAGCAGAGGTATGAAAAGGGAAGACGAGAAACATCTGCAGTTGTTACAGCATGTCAGAGCTGAAGTAAAACCAGAAAAGTGCAAGGATGAGACAGCTTTCTCCTTTAACTAAAAGCAAAACCAGCACAACCCTCCAACTTTAAAGGGACAAGTGTGTTTTTTAAGATACATTAATATTATGACAGAACACTGAAAGGAAAGAAAATAGCTATTATCAAAGTAATCTATTACTTTTAGATTACCTTTAGAAATCATTGTGAATTGTTTTTCCCCTTTAAGCAGGACTCGGCCAGACTGCCAACAAAATAAAAGCTCTTGTTTGTGGCTCTTTGTTGGGAATGGGGTTAATTGGTATACACTGTACAGAAATATTTTGCTGACCAAAATGCCTGAAGTTAGAAGAAGTTATTGTTTCAGTGTTAGCTGATTGATGTGGGCGCTGCCCTACTAACATTAGCAAGTCAAGTTTGCAAGTCTCAACGCATGCTCCTAAAGCCTGTGCCCTTTTACCTACTTAGCTAGCAAGCACGTGACAGCAGAGGAATGCAAAGCAGGGGAAGTGTGCAGCAGCTTATGATTAAATAGGCTTTTAAGGAGGAAAATAAATATTCAAAGACAGGGACTTCAGGAAGTCTTTGGTGTTCGGCCATCGTAATTCAGAACAATTTTAAAGGCTTAAGACTTTTTTTAAGTAAAGGAAAAGGATATGAAAAAACCCAAGATTTTTGATTCTTTCACATCTGAGGGTCAAGTAATACAGTCCTAGAACTAGGCTTGTCTTTGTTTTCAGGGCTTGTTTACTTGATTCAGGATTAATTCTTGTTGGATTAGCATTTTTTTTCATTTGTGAATAAGGGCTATTTTCCTTATTGAAGCTTATTGACTATTTATTTATAATCTTTTCCTGCTTTGGACAGAAATGCATATGCCTAAAAAAGGAAAGGGTTCTTGAAATTCTTACCTTCAGAAACAGAGAGGAGGGTAGTTAGAAAGTCACAGGGGAGTTGAAGGGTAATAGAAACCAGGTACTTAAGACACTGGCATTCCAGAATACAAAATTCAGTGAGTGAACTGGAGAACTGTTGACCCTTCTTGAGACAAATCCAGGTGCCTGATTCTCTGTATGGGGAGATAGTTGTTTTTTGTTGGGAGCATGTGGGGGTTTTCATTTGTTTGTTTATCCCAGTCTTAATAGTACTACAGTATTGCTAAACATATGATGAATTCTTAACTTTGCCTTTTGCAAACCCTGTTAAGTCCAGGGTATACCACGGATTGCTGCAGCCTGTCTCCATTTTATTGCTGTCTTGCAGTTTTGGTCTCAGTGTCCAAGCATACAATTTAAATGAATGAAGGAACAGCTGACTTTGACTTCCTGATACTTGTCTCCAGCAAGGCCCCTGTGAATAAGCAGTTTTTAGTGACAGAGTCATTAATTACTACAAATGGCAGCTGTTATTAGGGCATACAGGGCTTGTCTTAAAGGTTTCAAAACTGGTGTTCAAACCTGATTTGATTTCTTTGTTGAGCTAATCAGACACTGTACATGCATAGGTCAAATTGCATACTATTTGTGTAACCCAGTGATCTTTAGCTACCCTTCTGGAAACCCAGAAGCGTGATTCACCCAGGACTCTGCCTCTAAAACCTGAGCAGTGGCTGATGGATTTGGGAGATGTGTGAATTACTGTCAGCCACTATAGCAGTACTGCAGAGGTTGAGCACTGGGGGCTGGTTTAGGGGCACGCACTTTTAATATTGTAAGCAGTTGCTACCTATTAGTCAGCAGCCTTGCCAGATTTTGTGCAACAGCACTTTCCTTATTCTTCTATGCCTAATGCTCCTTCTATTCCTGTGTTGAGCATTTATTTCCTAAGCCTACTATTAATGCAACATTCCAAGTTCTTATGTTCCCTAGCTGTCTACTCATACACCTTTGCACTCTTCTTCATGCTTCAGATGACTTTGACATAGTAGAATGTTTAAAGACTAAAGGAGCAGTACTACAGTCTAATAATCTGCTTTTGAAGTGCTCAGCTAAACTGCACTGATAGCTCTCACATGCAGGGGTTGAATATCTACCAGAATTTAAGTTTAATTACAAAGCCTAAGCTTCAGGTTTGCAAAAGAAATGTAAGTTTCAGCACTTAGGATTCAAACAGCATGAAGTAGTTGTACTTTTGATTTTCGTTTAAATAGAAATGCCAGTGCTGCCTTGAAACATTTAGTATTGATAGCGTTGTATTTTGTACCAGTAAAAATGTGAAAGTAAAATTTGCCCTTGAATCCTGCTCTATAGATGGGTTTATAGATTTCTCTACTTCTAAGAGGATGTTGTTTTTAGAATTGTGCACAGAAGTTTTGGTAAGCTAATAAATGAATGTGGACAAAATACTTTGAAGTTTTGATGGTCTCTTCAAGAGTATGTAGTTTGGACCATTTCAATATTATATGGTCTGCAAAAATCTATGTTCTGATTGTATGTGCTCAAACAATATTAGTCTGAATTAATGATGAGCAGGGGTAACTTCCAGGATGTTTATGTAAAAATACTGGTTAAAGAAAGAAGGAAGCTATGAAGATGAGCTGATAAATATGAGTGTACATTTCAGTTTGAATTGGCTGTATCCTCAGAGAAAGTTGGGGTGTAACTGTGATTCTGTTTACATGTTTATGTTTGTTTTAACTTCAAGTGGCATTTATTTGAACCAGTTATGCCTACCCATTGTGATGGTCTGTATTGGCACGGTCACTGATATTTTGGGGTAATTAAACGTAGCTACAGTTGAATTACATTTCCTCTTCATTTCAGATTTGTTTGTGTGAAGGTCATCTTTCCGACAGCTGTGATTTTGTTTCCTCAACTCTGCATAGTTTTGATTTGGCATTTATTTGCCAGTCTGGATTCAGTCTGCACTCAGGCTATAGTGTCAAATTGCTGGGACAAATCAGCTTGAAATTAATATATGAAAAAAAAACCCAGAGGAAAATATGGCCTGAAGCAGCTCTGTTTTGCTAGCTGAGGTGAAAACTTTAAATACCTTTTCTTTCAAAATGTGAAGAGGAAAAAAAAAAAAAACCCAAAACCAAACCAAACCCCAAAACATTTTCTGAATCTCTTTTATCATTACACAGAGAGATGCTATGTACCTGCCATTTACTTTTTCTAAATACTACAGCTTTAATTTTCTGCTCTGAATTTTTATATACTGCATGCACACACGATATACAGCTTGCTATGATCCTGCCAAAAGGCCTGAGTTACATGAGTGTTTTGCTTCCATTTTCAGCTGCTGTGGTTAGAAGAGGTACCTTAATTGACATAGAGATACTCAGACTGAAGTGCAAGCATAGCCTGTAAGGAAGAGGCAAGTACTGTAAGTAAGTTTGGCGTACTTTGAAATATTTCCCAGAATTAGAGTGTGGAAGATATCTTGCTAGAAATGGACTAGATTCTGGTTCCTTTGAACAAAAAGGAAATATTTTTTTTAACTTTGCTTTTTGACAGAACTCACTTTGAAGATGGCAGAAGCTTACCAAGCAGTAGCTTTTCAATTTACAGTAACTCCAGATGGGATTGACCTGCGAATGAGCCATGAGGCACTCAAACAAATTTACCTATCTGGTGTCCATTCATGGAAGAAAAAGTTCATCAGATTCAAGGTATTTCAAATTCGTTAAGTCCACCAAACTTGAGAGTTATTTAATGGTTTATAGATTTGTTGAAATTCTGTTTAGGTTAAAAAAAAAAAAAAAAATCCTTTTTTTTTTTTTTATTTTTTTCCTTTCCTCCTTTATGGCAAATAAAGTTCTTTATTGTGGAAGACTTTTATGAGTTTTAGTTAAGGGGAATACTGAGGAAGGTAACGTGGGGTGATGCTGTAAAGACTGAAAGGGTACATGTGTTTGATTTATTCTGTGGAAGCAAGATGTAACAGATGTTAAAATTAATGGTAGATTTAATATACTTCATTCTTTTCATAATACTTCATGTAATTATGTAATCTTTTAACATAAGTCAGAAATATAACTAGTTGCGATTTTTAGTATCATTACTTAAAGATATAAGACTACACTCTTGATTTTATGTATTCTTTGCCAAAATTAGATTTTCAAATTAAGGAGAATCTCTGCTGTTTTCAAAAAGTTACCTGAACATCTATCTTGTATAAGTTATAGAATCATAGAATCATAGAATAGTTAGGGTTGGAAACGACCTTAAGATCATCTAGTTCCAACCACCTGCCATGGGCAGGGACAATGTTAAGTAGTAATGTTTCTGTTAAGGTATAGATTGTTGTGAATTTATTATTTTGTTCATGGGATCAGAAATAGTAAGTATGTATTTTATTAGCAGCAAACTAGATAAAATATAGGCTAACTTCAACATCTCTTTCAAAAGCATATTTTTAACAGTAGTCAATAAAATCTTACAAAGCTATGAGAAGGACTGTTTAAAACTGAATGACTTAAATGTGTTGATTTTTTGTTTCCTTCCACGGTAATAAGAAGTCAACCACTTTGATATGAAAAAAATTATGTGAAGGCTTTTCTTTCCAGAATGGAATTATCACTGGCGTTTTTCCTGCTAGCCCATCTAGCTGGTTTATTGTACTTGTGGGTGTGATGTCAACAATGTATGCCAAAATTGATCCTTCTTTAGGATTAATAGCTAAAATCAACCGAACACTTGACACAACGTAAGTAGACTGAAAAAGTACTGTTTCTCTAAAAGAAACCAATTTTCCTTGTAGCTATTCTTAAAACTAATCCTGTGAAAGTGAATCACTGTTTGAACAGTATGTTTGTGACAGAGTAAGCCCAATAAGCAGATGTGTGAGGGCATGAAAAGAGTAGGTTGTTATACCAGTATTACTACATTGTTTTCTGAATTTTTGGGAAGCACATTTGGCAGCTTCTGTGGCCTTTGATCTTACTGCATGGGGAGGGTGTTTGGAAAGGAGTTTACGAAAAAGGGCTAAACAAGCATGGAACTTGTGTAATGCCTGCCTGCAGTACCATTAGACTTTGGTTTGCAATATTAGGTTCTCTTCAGAACATAAACTGATGTTAACTGGCACATTCTGGTTTTTGTTTTAAATAGTGGCTATATGTCAAACCAAACACAGAACATCGTGAGTGGAATACTTTTTGGCACAGGGCTTTGGGTTGCCCTTATTGTCACAATGCGCTACTCTCTCAAAATGCTGCTTTCCTATCATGGTTGGATGTTTGCTGAACATGGCAAACTTTCTTCAGGCACCAAGATTTGGATGGTAAGGATCTATTTTCTTAATGTTTAATCTTTTATCTGATCTGCATTTAAAACTCTAAAAATAAAATTCTGTAGGTTTTTTTCCTTTCTTGTGTTTTCTGTGTCATGGGACAGGAGGACCCAACAGGTTGTTGGGTAGATGTTTCTACTAATTACTGTCATCCTTCTGATACTGTAATTAAACTATTCAGGATGGCCTTGTAGAAGTAAGAGTAAATGCTGCAAGAATAACTTCAGTATTTGCAATGCCTCGAGGCTGTGTGACTCAAATACACCTACTTTTTCTCTACATGCAAGTACAGCTGGAAGAACTTGGGCTGCAACTGCACCGAAGAATCTTGTCCTCCCCAGAAAGTGCTATCCTAATTCTTTGTTGAAATGTTAGGATTTCTAGTCATCTGTTATTAATTTAATCTTATGCTTAAAGACAATACTGGATGTCCTTTCAATTGATTTTATTCTATGCCTTCAAAATGAATTGGGAAAAAAGCCTAAGGCTGGTAGCTTGTTACACAGTTTTCACATAAACATAAGGCGAGAGTGATCTGGCTCTTGTTGATTACTCTGGTGCTTTGGAAAAGGATCCTTAACAGATATGATAGCTATAAAGTCAGGAAATGTGTGTGTATATATAGGTGGTCCAAGAGATGAAGTGGGTTTTTGTTTCTTGGACACAGTTCTTCCAACTCACTTTGGCCAGTATTGTAGAAATAACTTGCGCCCTATTATGACAGAATCAGTCTCTGTAGTGTCAAAAATGAACCAATGTGTGTTAGACTTAACACTGTGTTATGACTTATTATGAAATATATTCAAGAACAGGTATCCAGAATGGTACATTAAAAAAGATTTTAATGTTCCTATGTTACAAATGAAATTTCTAATTGATAGTTTCTCCTGGAAGCGGTATCAGGAGCCTCATGACACGAATTTGTACAGTGCAGGCTCTGAATGGTAAGGCTTTCTGTCAATTGCTTGAAGCTGTAGATGTCTGGGGTTACAGCATGTCCTATCAGACAGATATTTTAAAGCTGTTAATATTGCCTTATCAACCTTAAATAGTATGGATTGTAATACTACTTACCATGCTTTGTTGCATATTGTATTTGCAGATTTTTGTCTATTGAATGTTGCATATGTATTTTGTTGTGTATTATATATGTTTTAAAAAGCAGAACACTATAAGGGTATATGTCCAGCAGTGTCTTCTCTATACTTAATATGAAATTCTATTTTAATACCTTATTCTCTTTAGCTAGCCCCAACAAAAGAGAATGTTTTCTTTAGGAAAACAGTATCAACTACCTTAGCTTTCTAGATTTTTATTATCCTTTAATATTGTCTAATTTTCTGGACATGTTTTTTTCTGGATTGTGTGTTTCTTTTTTGTTAACTATCATGAATATACTGTCTTCTGTTCAAATAGTCAAGCAGATCAAAAACCTGAGCTCTGGTTTCAGTCACATTACAAAGTGATTTTTTTTCAGGCTGGTTGGAAGTCTGGTGGCAGTTTTAATGTATGTATTTAATCTCCTAAAGTCAAATTTTCTGTACTAGGATTAGGAGAAAAATGCAATTATTAGTTGCAGTTAAAAAAAGTTAAATAATAATAATCTGTGAACAGGTGCAATATATGCTAGAATGAGATTATTTGCTGTATTTGCACATGAAATCAGAGATGTAATTAACTACATGCGTCTGTTGGATTACCTTAATGGTTTCAAACTGTCACATATTCTCTACAACTTCAGAGAGAAATACTATGAAATGTGCTTGCTGGTTTTGCCATTTGAGCACGTATGCTCTGCCTGAAGTTAATTTCAGCTTTTCCTGTCTGAAGAGTTCTGGAATAAAATTGTCTCTAAGTATGGAATTAAATTTTCATATGAAAAACTGAGAATTTTTTTTTTCCCTCTCGCCTGACTTCAAATTTATCTTGTCATGAAGCACAACTAGTTTTAATTGGGCTGACCACTGTGGTGCATCACGTACATCTGACAACTCTGAAATAGATTGTCCATTGCAGGGAGGTCTTTGTTGTTGGTAATATTCTGCAGTTCTTAATATTTTTGTGCTGCATTAAACAACCTGCTCTTGCTGTGCTGACCAAGGAAACTGATTGAGGGAAAAACTCTTAAGATTTAACAAGTAGTTTTGTCAGTTGTGGGGGGGTATAGAACGGAGAAATTTAATATAGCAATGGCATACTTTGTCTTTGGTCTTTAATCTTAATTTTCCTATCAATTTGAATTCAACAATAAAGGTTCCATTGGATTCTTATACTTGACCTTCCTTTTATGCTGAAATAGGGTGATAATGTCAAAATCCTTTCCTGTGTATCATGTAAACTGCATAATCTAGACTTTCAGCCTAGCGTGTGTCACAGCTAAAAAGTTGGCATAAATAGGAATATCGTTTCTGTCTTTGGTCTTCCATGGAAAGCGGCAGATGCTCTAATAACTGAAGCTAAGAGGGGAATGGCCATCCCTGCCTCTTTCGTTTTGTTTTGGTGTTGTTGCTTTTGTAACACAAGCACTGAGTATAATACTGGCATGCTTGCACAATTTGGTGTGTTCAAATCATGCAGTAGACTACCTGAGATAGACTCATGCTTGAAGAAATGCCCTGTAACGTCTATGCTATTAATGTTGAGCTATACCTTTGGAAAATATTAAACCATGATTCCAAAACATTATTATTATTTTTAAAGGTGGCTATAGCTATCCAGAATCCTTAGCTGGGTCACGGTTAGTGCATGGGCTTGGTTAATGATGCCTGTTTTCAAGCACAACATAGATATTTTGCAGTATCTATTATATAGTAAAAAATCAACTGTTAGACTTGCTTTTTTAATATTTACAGAGGGAAATGTATGAAGAAAAGAAGTGCTAAGTAACTGTCTTCATTTTCTGTTGAGCTTAAGGTGTGGCATGTATAAACAATATTGCCTAATGACCAGTAGATAGTCAAGAATGACTATAACTGTCTCTTCCACTGACATGTTGTTTAACCCTTGGGAAGTTAATGTCAGTGCCTTTTTGTTTGTGAAACAGTGATAAATATGATAGTTTGCTAAATTTAGTACTATATAATTTACCAGTGAAAAGAACTGAGTTACACTTTATTTATGAATTACACTTTATTACTGCACCATTTTTCTTTTGTTGAACTTATTAATTTGAGATGTGTATTTTGGTTTTGCTTTTCTTCAGACACTTGTAAAACTCTTCTCGGGACGTAAACCCATGCTGTACAGTTTCCAGTCATCTTTACCACGTTTGCCAGTTCCAGCTGTTAAAGACACAGTCAATAGGGTGTGTATATTTATTAATTAATTTTCTTCAGTAACACTGAATCCATATTTAGATGCCCTTGAAATTGTTGGGCTTTTTGTGGGTTTGGGTTTTTTATGGGGTTTTTTGGTTGTGGTGGTTTGTTTTTTTTGTTGTTGTTGTTTTTTTTTTACCATGTCCTATAAGAAGTATTATATGGTGGTATTAATATGCTGTCATGGATGAAAAATTCTGCATAGAAATTAAAACAAAGGCTATAACAAACCACTGAAACTGGTGACAATTTGAAGCTAATGTAATTCATATTGGATGATATGATGTCTGATGTAAAACTATGCAACAGAGTGTGATTTCCAGGGCTTTGAAACTTTATGGTTTTCTTATCTTCCACAGCTTGAACATAAAATGTGTTTTATGACACAAAAGCTTATAGCAAAATGTGTAAGTAGGACACTTTGTCGTAGAAACCACAGGTTGGATTTCTAGTGACAAAATGTCTCACTGCCTGATACTGAAGAAGCTGCATGTCTTCTGCGTGGAAAATATTTTTAGAGAAGTAGTCTCTTCCATTTGTGATTTGCTGACAAATGTCTGGAAAAAGATCTCATTTTTGTAGTTTGCAGGCAGATATTTAGAAGAGTATATACTCTTATTTTAACAACATGGTTTTTGCAACCTTATGAATTGAGCCTGGGTAATCTTTGCCTACAGTTCAAACTCTTTATATAGGAATAGTGCAAAGCTATGTATTAGTTACATACTGATACTGATTCTTCTCCTGTATTCTAGTATCTGGAATCAGTTCGGCCACTTATGGATGATGAAGAGTTCAGAAGAATGGAGGGTCTTGCCAAAGATTTTGCATTTAATCTGGGACCAAGACTTCAGTGGTATTTGAAGCTAAAATCCTGGTGGGCCACAAACTACGTAAGTAGATAAATGGGAGGCTCAATTGTTCAATAGACATACTTTAATTTGTTGCCTGTTGCCCTTTTTGGCTTCTTTCTTAAATGTAAAAGAAGGCAATTGAAACCACCTAATATTTTTGTAAAGTGCATTGGAGACCACCTGATTTGCACATAAATACTTGCATAGTTTGGTTAACAGTCTAGTGAATGGAACTTGAAAGAATAAATCCTCATTTTGTGTTCATTATCTCGAAGCAGGTGATCTAGCATTTGCTGTTATGATTGCTCTTTTTTGTCTGTTCTGTGGTTTGGTTTTTGTTTTTTGGTGGGGGGTTGTTTGGGGCTTTTTGGTTGTGATTTTTTTGTTTTGGTTTTTTTTTTTTTTTGTGTGTGTATGGCTTGGCTTTTAGGTTTAGGCTTTTTTTTGTTGTTTTGTGTTGCTTGTTTGAATTTGGTTTTACAAAAAACAAAACCCAAACCCAGCATCGTAGTGGGAGCTGTAAGATAGTTCCTGATTTTTCCCCAAAGTTTAACACAAATTAGGTTTTTCTTTGTTCCACTTTTTTAAGTAGGAAGACAAGCTAGCAGTTTTCTTTCTGCATCTGTATGGAATGTTGTATTGTGGAGTCATTAACATAGAAGACAAACTGTGGAAGTAATGAGATTTTACTGGTTTTGTCTTCCTACTGTAGGTTAGTGATTGGTGGGAAGAATATGTCTACCTTAGAGGACGTGGACCAATAATGGTTAATAGTAATTATTTTGCAATGGTAAGTAAATAATATAAACACCTTATGTATCAAAGAGGCACAGAAAAATTTCTGCCAGGTGCTTATTTCATTATATCTTTCTGCTCAGAAATCTATTGCCACTGCGTAAGTGACCTTGGTTTTTCTTCCTTTTAGGAAAAACCTTTAATGTGCAGCCAATGTTTTCAAGTACAGTGCTATGTTAATAATAAACTTTTGCCACTTTGGCAAACTTATGTAATAGTGACTCTACACAGTTTTGTGCTTACTGCAATAAGCAATGCTTTCAAAAGCTCTATATAAAACTTCATGGTAACACAATTCAGCAAGATGTGTGCTCATATTCACAAATGTCTTCGCAGGAAGTAAAATTGTAAAAACATATTAAAATTTAAAGTAGAAAGAAGAAATTTGGTAGTCTTGGATTCAAGTTCTAAGCATTTTCTTTTTTACTGGGATGATGAGCAGCTATCATTTATATTTCGTGACTGATGCTGTTTAAGGAGATTGGCTGTTGAAGAAATTTAAGTTTCAAAGTCATCAATTCACTGCAGTAGTGCACTTAATATATTTTAAAGCCTTTTCCATATTAACCAGAATAAACTATAAGGAAGTGAACAAGAAATACTATCAGTAATTGTTTTTATTTTAAATGTAGTCTGGTAATCATTAACTTATGTTTCTTATGTACTTTATAGGACTTCCTTTATTTATCTCCCACAACCATGCAGGCAGCTAGAGCTGGTAACATTATCCATGCCATCCTGCTCTATCGGAAAAAACTGGACAGACAAGAAATCAAGCCAGTATGTATATCAGTTTAAGTGGCCTTTGGTCTTTTTCTAGCATAATCTGCAAGCACTTGATCTGTTTTCAGAATGGAGAGAAGAGGAATGTTTTTATTGTCAGAACTACATGTAAGGTGTTTGGGACCACAAATTTTGTTCCATCTTGGGTTATCACTTGAATTGCACAAGGCAGAAAATACCAATTCTCAGAAATACAGGATTCTGTCATTACAACTAATTGCAGTATTTAGAATTAATGTATGTATTTGCCCAAAAGACTGAGACTTGAATATGTTAAGCATTCCATATAACAGATACTGTTTTTAGGTACTAAGCATGTAATGGTATTTTTGAGCCCCTGAAGTCTGAAAGTCTGTAAGTCTGAGTTATCATGTAGTGTGAGCACAAGGGGTGGTTAGGACAAAGAACTGGACCTTAAGGCCAAGAGTGGGCCAGTGGCAGCTGAAGTATAGATGATGATAAAATCCTGTGTTGCACTAATTTCTGGGTGGCAAAGATCAGTAAGGTAAATCCCATTCTGAATTTCTGTTCTATTCAGGGCCTGTATGTTGTTGGGAACAATACTGTGGAAACAAGTAGGTTTGTTGATGGTCAGGAATGTGACTAATTGTGTGTAACTACAAATCTGAGAAATGTGAACTTTTCTTCCTACACATGCAGAAATGGCTTTAAAAGAAACAATTAAGGGGTAATGCATGCTGCATGTTTAAATTTTGCATCTGGACTGGCCACCAAGAGGTTTTCAGATGCTAGGTAGGTTCAGTCATCCTTCCCCAAGGGTGAGCTTTTGGTAGGAGGGGAAAAAATACAGCTACTGGAATGTCAGTGGAATCTTCCACACGTAATTCAAGAAAACACAATGGGGGTGAGGGAATCCTGAGTTTATATATTGTAAATCTTAATATTCTACAGCCTTTTAACCAGATCCTGTTTTTTCCTTTTTCTAATTGTATATGCCCAATATATGAACATTTTAATGTATATTTGCGGCACAGATTCTTCTGATGGGATCCACTGTTCCACTCTGCTCAGCTCAGTGGGAAAGGATGTTCAACACCTCCCGTATCCCAGGAGAGGAATCAGGTAAGCAGGACCAGCCAAGGAAAATAAGCATCTTAATGGAATTCAGTTTTGGAGGTATTTTGTGCTAAAATCCCTTTTTTTCACAGATAAAGATCTGACAGACACATCAATGCTGTGTTCCACTACTCAGGAAGTAATGAACTCCTACAGTGTGCTAGATATTTCAAAATACCTTAAAAGGAAAAAAATTCTCTAGTTTTCTCCATTCTACTCTTTGAGGATCCTTTGATATCCATAGGTTTATGTTTGTTGAAGTTGTGTTCTCCTATCTCAACTATATTAAAACCTTGCTTGACTTTACTTTTTTTTCCTTTCAGTTTATGATTCACAACAACATCCCAATGTAGTGTTCTCAATGTGAATGTCTAACTGGTTTAGAGGCAGGTAGAGTCTTAGTCCTTTCAAGGTTTTCAACATCACTGTTACCTTGAACTGTGCTGTTATCTTACATGTGCTGTAAGACACGAGCTAAGTGAAATCACCTGTAATATGCTGGTGTCCAAAATTGTCTCTGTAATACATTAAGAAAATACATACTTTAGGTTTTGTTAGTTCCTTCCCTGCCCTAACTCCCAGCAGTGGTCTGATTATCCAAAGCTATGAGTAACTAAATTTTCACATTTTAATTTTGAATAGAGGGGTGTGCCTGTTGACTTACAGCAGGGTCATTCTCTCCTGAATCTGTTCCTGCAACTTGTTTATTGTGGAAGACTAAGGATGTGCCTACATGATCACAAGCAATCATGTTAGCTCAGTCAAAAAAAAAAACCCAAAGTCTCTGTGACAATTCATATACACTTTCTCACTGTAGGTGTACATATCCTCTCATTGCACTCATTCATTAACACTGTCTATACATATAAAGAATTTCATTTCAGTTAATGGCAAACCTTTGATAAATTGTTTCTTGTTCTATCTCAACATAAAAACACCATTGTTTTTTGATGGTCAGTACATCATCTGAGATCTTGAGGCTGATTCTTCTCTGGGGTTGTCACTTGAAAATAGCATGTATTTTATTTTGACTCTGAGATCTGTAACTCAGTCCTATGTTTCAAGCTGCCTTTGGGCATGTTAGTTGCACTCAACTAAAGAATGAAAAAACATAAAGGATTTTACTCTTGGTTTGGTTGCTGGCCCTTGGTAGATAATTCAGGAATTATTTCCTGGTTATGGTTCAACTTCCTTTATCTGCAAAATGGAGGTGGTGATTACTCCCTGAACATGAACTGGTAGCTTAAGTAAACTAGCAAGTTTTAAAATCTCTATTTTACAGCTGTACTTTGTGAGCTATTGTTATTTAGAGTACTTTAAGTATTGAGAGTGCAACCCTTGCCTCCTCCCTGTCCTCAATAAAAGTATGAACTGTTTGCCATTAACTTTGGATTTGGTGTTCTCTTAGTCTGAAATGAGTGTTGCACAAAAGTGTATCAGTAGCCCATTCTAACTATAACACCTGATTATAACATACCTCCTGTGTATCTTTATGGTTCTCCTCAGTTTCTTTCAAATTTAAGTACAGTAATGGTTCTTCCCAGATTCACAGTAATATACCTGTTCTTTAAGGTAGTGAAGGGATCCAGTTGACAGTTTTCATTAATTAAGGGCTTTCCCTGGCTTCTGCAGAAACCCTCACATGTGGTTTGATATAATGCTTTCAAGATGAACTTTAGGCTTATGACAATTAAGCCATATAAATAATAAAGTTAGGAAAAATTTGTGGCTTAGGTTTTCTGCTTCAGTGATTTCCATAACACTACACTTCTTGGCCACAGATGGAGCATTCATTCTGTACCTGTCAGGATACATATGAACAAAATTTATGGTACTTAATTTGGGCTCTTTTAAGACTCCCCACAGATTATACCATGAATTCTAGAGTCTAGAACTTATTCAAGTCTAGAACTTGAATTAAGATGATTTAAAAGTACCTTTCCTCAGATTCATCTAGTGTGTTCTTCTGTTGACTACATAAATGAGATTATAATACTAGTGCTCAGTTTTAATATTGGCCACCAGTGTGGAAACTTGTGGTACTACACAAGCAAATGATTGTCAAATCTGGATATCTGACTTGTTTTATGCAGGAATCCTTGTGCTGAAATAAGATGGCAGATTGGTTTATCTCACAATGTATTACTTTGTTAAAATAAACTGTGGCTAAATGGTAGGGCATGCAGTAGGCATTTGATGTTTAGTGCATTAGTGTTTTGAGACTTCAGCTTTGTTTTCACAAAGTGTTTGCAATTTCTAGATACTCTCCAGCATGTGAAAGACAGCAGACACATTGTTGTGTATCATAAGGGCCGTTACTTCAAAGTATGGCTGTACCATGATGGCAGACTGTTGAAACCCAGAGAAATTGAACAGCAGATGCAAAGAATTCTTGATGATGGTTCAGAGCCTCAGGCTGGTGAAGAGAAGCTAGCAGCTCTTACTGCAGGAGATAGGTAAGATCGTTATTATTTTTTAAATAGACTTCAATATTTAGAGACAGTTGCATAATATACTAATTCAGTACTGGCTTCGGAATTTTAAAATAGTCTGCAGTCAGTTGATTCCACCTTGATCCCTGATTTTGCATATTGCTAAGATGTGAAACCTCTTCAGTCATTTGTAACTACGTGGAGTTGAAAGTAATTTTGCAGTGGCATCCCTGTATACAGATTACGTGTACTTAGCTGGAGGAGTTTGATTTAATTGTGGTTATCATAAGGGTGGTAATTGGAAGCTTTACAGTATTACACGTACTGAAATACCAGAGTTTTATATCTACTCTGGTGTTCACTGTCATTTTAACAGTATTGTAAAGCTTAAGATCAAGAATGTGAATCTGGTAACTGTTACTCCATATTCATGATTTTCACCTGCAAAATAAAGCACTATGTACTCAGTTGGTTTTAAGTACAAAATCACTGAATTCAATTAAATCATGACAAGTTTAGATCAATCTGCCTAATTCTTTCTGGACAAGTGGGAGTGACTGTTGATTTTGATATGCTTTCTTACAAGGAGTCCCTTATTTTTCTCACTTTCTGCTTTTAAACAAGCAGATTATCTTTTTCATTTGGAAAACCACAGAAACTTGTAAATATACATGGTGCAACTGTATAGAAATTACATTGTTCAGAACTTTTTTAACTTCTGTTTCAGGCATTTCCAGTGAAACTTTTTTTGACAATTGTCCATACTCGGGTTTAGATGTTACAGCAATTGATATTTATCTGATTGTTTTCATTATTATTACTACTTTCTTCCATATAATAAACATTTTCTTTTTTCAGTTATAAATGTAGATAATCTATGCACATTACATGCTGCAGAAATATTGAATTTAGATTAAGCTTTGCATGCATGGTGTTGAAATGGTTCATAGGATTGCATTGTACAAGTATTTTCAGAATATTTATCTGCTGATACAGTTTAAATGCAATTAAAGTAGTTGCTTCAAATTTGATAAAAGTAGCAGTAATCTCATAGTGATCTAAAGAGTGCTAAAATGTCCAATTCTCATAATCTGTCAATAAACAAAATTCTTTTTTGCAGAGTACCATGGGCTAAAGCTCGACGGGCTTATTTTAGCCATGGAAAGAACAAACAGTCCTTAGATGCTATTGAAAAAGCAGCATTTTTTGTAACATTAGATGACATCGAGCGAGGGTACACAAAAGAAGACCCAGTAAGGTCACTGGATGTGTATGCAAAATCCCTAATACATGGCAAATGTTATGACAGGTACAGTACTGACTCTGGAAAACACCTTTTTTTTTTTTTTTTTTTTTAAGAATTTCACTAATTCACGTGACTAATGCATATGAATTAGAGACTTATAAGATGATAATTTTCATTGACTCGCATAATAGTTTGCATTGGAAGCAACCTTCAAAGATCATCTAGTCTACCTCCCTTACCATAGGCAGGGACATCTTTCACTACCTCGGATTGCTCAAAGCCCAGTCCACCTGCTTCTGAACACTTCCAATGATGGGGCACTCGCAACTTCTCTGGGAAACCTGCCCAGTGTCTCAAAACTCTTATGCTAAAAGACATTTTTCCTTTCTGTCAGATCTGTATCTATCTTCTTAGAGTTTGTAACCATTGCCTCATATCGTGTCTAGATAGGTCACGGTAAAAGTCTTTCTCTTTTTTTTTTAATAAACTTTCTTAATATATTGAAAGATTTAAATAAACTGTTACTGGGGGGTGAGGGAGAAGCCATGAACTAGTGCATTTGAATGAGAATTTTTGAAAGAGATGAAGTTAAAGTGTAAAAATGCTTTTGTAATATACAAAACTATCAGGAAATCTTAATTTCTTTGTAGGTGGTTTGATAAATCATTCACTCTTATAATATTCAAAAATGGCAGAATGGGTCTGAATGCAGAGCACTCATGGGCAGATGCTCCTATTGTTGGACACCTCTGGGAGGTAGGTGTTTAATAGAAAAAGCTAATGCAGGAGATAATGGGATATGGTCTGTGCAGTGGTCCTGAAGATGGCCAGTTATTATCAATCCTTTGCATTCACGTTGCTGTGAGTGATTACATGCTGGTGTCTATAGCAACTGTAGACTTTAAAACCCCATCTCTAGCTTAAAAGAATAGTATAAATGAAAGGTTTTTATTGCATTTTAATGAGTGTAGATGTCTCATAGAAAAATGATACAGTTTCCCATTTAACTTGTTTATAATATTCAAAATCAATGGATTTGATATAGCATTGTATTTTGCGTATATACGTGCTCCTGAAACACTTAAGCTTTCTTGCATTACAAAAATCCCGCACTTACTTTCAAAATTTAAAGAAATGGCGCAGAGTTAAACTTTTCCTCTACACTATTGTTTGATGATCTACAGATTGATATATTATCTCTTGTGTTTATTTACAATGATCAAATAAATGCATTTTTTGCCAGGTCTGTTCATCATGACCTTAGCTTGTTACTTGAAATCTTATTTAATTTTTTCTTTTTGAAGCTTAAACATATAAACAGTTACATGATTAACAGTAAGGCTGAACTGATTTGAGATTGACTTGACAGTGCAGTTTAGATTAGCTCAATGAGAAAAGAGTTCCCTTGGTTTCTTTTGAGTGTTGTTGCATGCTTTAGTTCATATCTCTGTACTTATAATTAATTGGTTCATTTTCTGCTAAGAAGAAAATAAGCTAAGTAAGATTTCAGTTCCTAAAAAGTTATCTGTTGTTATCTCTTTATATATTGCCTATTGTTTTAATAGAATGGATTAAGTTTTTTTTTAATATTTGACATGTTCTGACAAATAAGTGAGAAAATTAAAATAATAGATTATAACTATATATAAAACATGCAATAGATCTTTGTCAAGCTTTTTCTTTCCATATTAAGCAGCTTCAAATCTATTGATAATCCTGCATTATTTATTTATTTTTCATTTATTTCTTATTTTTTCATTGAGGATGTTGTTTGAAATCTTGTAAGACTGAGCTTATTTTGTCTGTTGTTCCAAGTTCTATTGTTCATGTTCGAAATATTTTACTTCTCCACCTAAGAACTCTAGTGCACATATAAAATAATCTATTTTGAGTGGGATGCAAATCTTGCTGAGACTCTCTAGAATGTAAATTGATCAGAAGTAGTGAAATCTAAGCCTCTAAGATTTGATTTTTTTTTATATATTTTTTTTTTACTACTAGTAAGTTGAGGTAGCTTTCTAATTGAAGTAGTTTGATTAATTCAGTAGCATCTAACAAAATGTACAAGTGTAATTGATGTTAGCCTATCTGGCATTTTTCCCACTCAGAATGCAAGTAAAAATGCTCTTCGAATAAGAAGTAAACCAGGGGGCTTCACTTGCAGCTGTTTTTAGTATTTGGAAATGAATTGTATATTGTATTTCATTGGGTAGTGAAAATGGGTTGTATTGATTTTGCAATGAAATCCTAATTCCACCACAGTATGTAATGTGCTGCAATTCTGAAGAAGTATCATTCTTTGCAGAATGTAATGGCAACTGACTATCTTGAACTGGGCTATTCAGAAGATGGGCATTGCAAAGGAGATACCAATCAAAATATTCCTGTTCCTACCAAACTGCAGTGGGAAATTCCAGAAGAAGTAAGTACAGAACAGCTAGTGGTTTGAGGAAGAAGCTCACCTTTTTCTGAGCAGTCAAATCATTTAAGTATTTATTGATAACAATATAAATCGGCTTAAAATTCCTTTGTATCCTGTAAGATGTATTTCATGTGTGAACATAACTCAGTTTACTTGGAAAGGTGTCGGGGGTTTTAATGTCACTTAAAAGAATCCTTGTCAGGAAATGTCAGCTTTTTACTAGAAACTTTCTTGGGTGGCCACATGTCAAAAATAAGTGCCCACCTATTTTGAATAGTAATTATATTAAAATGAAGTTGAAGTCATTACTATCATTACAACAAATGCTTTCCTGTAATGGTTCCTTGAGATCAGCTGTCTTTTTTTGTGTTCAAAATTCTGCGTAGATGTCTAATAAGGTTTGATTTATTTTCTCTTTTGGCCTGATTTGAAGACACACTGCCACCATCTATTTGGATTTTAATTTTTAATAAAAAGGTAATGGTTGGTGATATGCTTAATTAAGCATGTATGGCAGATTGGAAGGCACACAGTTATTGTTGTTCTACCTCTGTGGGTCATTCTAGTGATCTGAACAGTCTAAATGCTGGTGGATTTTTAAAGCCTAATTTTTGGAGTCCAGAGGTGTATTGCTTAAAACTTTTTATTAGTATTTTGAATATTAACTTTCTGCCAAAGGCAGCATCTCGTCGGTCTCCAAAGGGAGATTATTGGTAATAGTTTCTGGCATGCATAAAGGCAACATTTCTTAGTTATCAATTAAAAATATTTCCACTCTTTCAACAGTTCTCTCAAATGACATTAATGCACACATATGCACACCTGTGTATCTATTTATTTTAGTGTCAAGAAATGGTTGAGAGGTCTCTGAGCACTGCCGTAGCTCTGGCAGATGATGTGGACTTCAATTCGTTTTACTTTGATACTTTTGGGAAGGGACTAATAAAGAAAGCAAAAACCAGCCCTGATGCCTTTGTGCAACTTGCCCTGCAGCTTGCTCACTATCGGGTAAGGAGAACAATCTGTTTCTGACTTACAAAATCTCATTAAATTAGGTATAGCATGTTCTAAACAATGTTAAACTTAACTTTCAGTTTGGAGTTCATCCTTAATTCAGTAGTCACTACTACACTCTCAAAAAGGATTAGCAGAAATGCCTGCCTGTGTATTCCTCTGTTAGTTCATCTTTTCTGTAGCATGCTTTCAGAAAACACTAGTATAGCAATGTCCATGTTTTTCATTTTGCTTTTTGGTCATTGCTATTTAGGACTATTCTAGGCTTTTTAAGTAATTACAAATGTTTTTCCAAAGCACCCAGATTTCCTGGCTGCTATCAACATTGCAGTCTGTCTTACACGGTAGCTACACGGCTAATAGTTTGATTATCCACCTATCTGTTTCAATTTGAACACCCATTTTCCGTATCTAAATCTGGACAGACTGTCAAAATCTGTTCTGATATGTATTTTATATACATCACTTTCTAAGATGTGTTAGATAAAATTTTGTCATTTGGCAACTTTTAATCTGTAGATTGTACACATCTACAGAAATATGGAAGCCACATTCCCTAGACTTTGCAGATTGTTTTCAGTTCTCACATATCTTGAAAATCCCCACACTGGCATGTGCCTCCATGCTCTTAAATTTTTAACTAAAAATATTTTTAAGAATGTTAGTTTCTTAATTATTTACCACAGCTGTCTTAATTAGGAAGTCCCTGAACTTTTAAGCAGGTTTTTGGGTCATCTTTGGTTATAAGCGGAAGAAGACTGAATATAAACCAGTGAGGATAGTCCTTGCTAGTTTGGTTGTCCTATTAGCATTTATCAAATCATGCTACTAATCTTATTTTTGCCTTTATGTTTAGGCAAGTCTGATGGGCTACTAAAAACTTTATGTTGAGTTTAATTTGTGGAGAGGTTGATATCCTGTGTGCTTTCCTTGAACTGTTGATTAAGAAAGTGAGGCTAAGTCTGGCTAAACCCTTAAGATCTGAATTTTTTTCCTTTTCAAGGACATGGGAAAATTTTCTTTGACATATGAAGCCTCTATGACACGCTTGTTCAGAGAAGGCAGGACTGAAACTGTTCGTTCATGTACTGTTGAGTCATGCAACTTTGTTCGATCCATGGAAGACCCAACTGAAAGTGTAAGTTCATGATATTGTTCTGTATAATTCCACAAGGCACGTGAGTTATCACTAGATATCGGTATATATTCCTAAATAGTTTTTAAACCCTTGAAATTATGCCTTTGTTTTTTAGGAAGGAAATGCAGCATAAAGTTCATTGTCCACATTGTCTGTCAATATGGCAAAAATTCAAGGCTATACCAAAAGAGAATGGCAGTAACTTAGCCAAAGATGCTATTTCTTATAGTTCCTGAACTCCAGAAAACTGAATATACTTGTGAGATTTTTTTAGACTTGTAAAACTCAAATATAGATTTGTGAAATGAGTAACCTCCTACCAGTTAGGCTTTTCTTTCTGATAGGGAAGCAAGTATCACTCACAGGCATCTTTCCCGTGGCATTTTGACTGGCAAAAGAAGCATGGTCTAGGAAAAACACTTCTTTGTTTTGAAAACGTAGACAATAATGGGAAGGGTGAGAGCTGTCTGTTCTTTTAATCTACTCTCAGTTGTGATTTTTAGAGACAGTTGATGAAATAAATCATTATATTAGCAAATTTTGCTAAGCTGAGTGGAATTTTCAGTTCTTCAGAATTAATAAAAATTTGAGTTTAAAAAGAGAGTTTTGTTAAATAGGAAAGTACTCAAGGTATTGCATCCAAGCCAGAGTAACAGCTGCGTGGGTAGAAGTTATAATGGAAAAGATCTAGGACTATAATAATCAGTAAATGAACATTCAGTGCTACGCCATTAGGAAAAACAGAGCCCTCACTTAAATTGCTCTTGCTCTTTATTGTTAGTAGTCTGTCCTCTCTGAACATTTTTCCTATACAGCATTAGCTGGGGTGGTATGTCCAGTTTTGGACATCACACTTGAGATATGGATTTATAAAGAAAAATGGACTAAAGAGAGTCTTAAGGTGAGAAAGAATGATGGTTAGAAACCCCTGGAGAGGATCTGTGAGGAGAGTTTGAACTCAATTATTCCTGCCTAGCCTGAACAAGAGAGAACATAGTGGAAAAGATAGGGAGCCATGTTGTACTCTAGAGGATAAGAAAGGCTGATGCAGATATGATGGGAACAATCTGTTAGCTGCCCCAGACGTAATGGACTTAAATTTCAGGCAGAAACACATTAGGGAAATATTTTCTCTAGTAAGGATAGTGAGTAAGGAGGGAAATAGAATCCTGAAAGCCCCAGGCCATTACTTTGGGAGGTTGTTTTTTCACTTTGACAGTCTTTGAAAGTAAGTTACATAATGAAAAGGGTTTTAGTTGATCAGATCTTGGGGCAGAGAAGTCCAAGCAGATAAACAGTTGAAGTTCTTTCTTCAGAAACAAAGAACCCTATGATTCTATGAATAAATGTTACTGCAAATAAACTGATGCACAGAGAAAAAAGAACAAACTTTTTTCTCCCTCCTCTTTCTGGAGTTGTGTGTAGGTAAAATCCCCCTTAATATGTTGTGCTGGGAGCTATGATCAGACCAGTTCAAGTCTGAAAATCCAGCCATGTCAAGGTGTCACACACAGCTGTATGGTACAGCTACTGTGCAGCTACCCTGTGTATAGAAAGCAATTTTGACAGTCCTAATGTCAAAACTAAGTGCTGTTACATCTCCACAGTTAACATCTACTTTTTTTATTGAAGGAATAAAATAACCCCATACATGGCAAGATATATATGCGTAATAGACATAATTCTGCTCATTGAATTTTTCTTATGGTTACTACAAACATGATTCTTTCAGACTTGTTGATTCATTATTGCCCTTCATCTGGAATTACCAGCAACAAATCAGAGGAACCCCGCCTTCATAGTGGAAGTTTGGGGTTTTATATGTTATGAAGATATATTACATGCATTTATATATTATTTCCAAAAGAGTTGTCTGCCTTTACTGCTTCTTTTTTTTTCTTGGAATTTCCTTGGAATTTCCTTGAGGCATGTATCTTCCATGGATTATCCACAAAACTTTAGCCCTGGATGCCAATGGTGGGCATATTTAGCATGACTACAAGTGATTTATTAGTTTTATTGCTGAAGCCATATAGGCTGTTCACTGTGTCCCATATAAGTGGTGTAAAATGCAGTGATGCTGGAGATAAGAAGTGGTAGGTTGCCATATACTCAGTATGTTCATTCCGCATCATAAAATCTTAACAGAATGGCTCACTGTTTTGAACAGGCACTTTCTTTCAGCTCTTACAACATTCATACAGTGTTCATAGAACTATGGGGTACCTCAGGTTGGATCCATAAGGATCATTGAGTCCAACTCCCTGCTTCTTGCAGGACTACCTGAAACTAAACTGTATGACTAGGAGCATCATCCAGACATTCCTTGAACAGGCTTGTTGCCCTGACCACTTCCCTGGGGAACCAGTTTCAGTGACTGGCCACCCTCCCAGTGAAGAACCTTTTCCTAATGTCCAATCTGAACTCCCCTTGATGAAGCTTTCCAATCCTGTTTGCATGACTTCTGACTGGAATTGCCTGCTCCTGAGATTTTAAGAGAAGGCTTTTGAAAAATGACCACCAGTCATGAACCCAATAACTTCAGTGTTGTCAGTCTGCCTTCTAAAGCGGCTGATGCAGTTCAATGTTTTCTTAAATCCTGTTGAGATTTGTTCTTCTGTAACTCTAAGACCACTGTCTCTAGAAACTAAATATACAGTAATATAATGTACTTGACCATTACACATTCCAGCCTTGAGAGCCATTGCTGTAACTTAGTTTCCACACCTCCATACAGTTCACTTAACTGATTTTTCTTCTCTTTGTTTCACTGTCAGAATGAAAATAAGCTGAAGTTCTTTCGGCTTGCTGCTGCCAAACATCAGCACTTATATCGTCTTGCCATGACTGGTTCTGGCATTGACCGCCATCTCTTCTGTCTTTATGTTGTCTCCAAGTACCTGGCTGTAGATTCTCCCTTCCTTAAAGAAGTAAGTGACTTTTACTGTTAACTATTAATTACAGCAAAAAAATCCTTTTTTAACCTAGCATTTTGTGGTATCTGCTGGCATAGTTGTAGAACTCAGGTTTTCTTAAGAAAAAAGCTAAGAGCTAACATTGCTTAGTATCTGCTGATAGATTACAAGTTAGTTTCATTTCTATGTATGTGCTTGTTAATAAGCCTATAGTAATGCTTTCTGTGAGCTTTGTACTATAATACATATTGTTAAGGGTTGCAAGAAAGATATAGTCAGTATTGTAAAAGAAACCCAAACCAACCAAACCAAAAAAAAAACCCAAACCAAACACTGCTTGTTGTTTTTACACATTTTCAAGGCAGCAAAAAAGGCTGTTTTCTCTCAGGAATGCTCTTTTGGAACTCTGACAAAATCACTTTCTTTTACTGTGAGATAAAGCAACTATATATTGTGATTTTTTTTAATTATTTTTTTTATGCACAACATTAATGTCACTGTTTTATTACCCTAACAAATGTTTTATTGCTTCAACTCGATTTTAAGCTTGTGCTCTATAAAAGTAATTATATTGCAGTTGTTCATGTTTCCTGATTAATAAAAAATGTGTTCCAGCTTGCCTCCAAATTAAGCTACTCACATTTGTCTGCTTGCCCTCCTAAATGTGACTAGGGATGAAGTCAAGAATAAACCAACTTTCTACAGATTCTGCAGACTTTCAAGTTACACCTGTATTGCTAAAGAGTTTAACAGCTTCTAACTCGATGTAGTATCTTACCAAGATTTCACTGTGGCTGTTAACGATCTTGTTGTTAACAAGACCTGTTATGCAGAACTTCCCTGGCTATAGACCAGATTAATCTGTTTTGAAATAGTGTTTCTACTGAAACAACTCTTATTCTCTTTGAGGAACTGACATCATAACCTCATATGTTAACAGTTTGCATATCAGGACAAGTTTAGCTATTTCTTTTAACCCTTCTTAATTGTTCATTCCGTTGAAGTGGGAACTGGAGTCATCCTTACTATTGCTTTAGTGAGTGTTTTCTAACTTACCTTGACTAGTTTTCGGGAAAGTTGCATGTCCTTAAACACTGCATGATACTTGTATGCATCTGTTTCATATCTAATACAGGTTTTGTCAGAACCTTGGCGGCTGTCAACAAGTCAGACACCACAGCAACACATTGATTTAAAGAAGAATCCTGAAATGTTATCCTGTGGTGGAGGATTTGGACCGGTATGTTTGCTAAATACAAATACTCCTTTAAAACCAGTTTATTTTGAATATGCCACTTTAAAAACTTTAGATCTGTAACACCTTAATATTGTACATCAAAGGTGCAACACATGCTATTAAATGAGTGTGCTTCATGCTTTCTCATTATGTGGCAATGCGCAGAAAAACCTGCATCACCTTTCTGTCATATCCCCCTACAAGAATAGATTATTTGTAAGGAAAGGTACAGTTATCTAATGTGGTACAGGCCTACATGGCAGAGAGATTTGATAAAATGGGGGCTCTTACCACATTACATACGCCCAGAGATTCTCTTACATCAGGCTATTATTACACTGACAAATGCCGTATTACTTAAACTAGATTTTAAGGTTAGGATTTGCAGGAGTAATTATACTTGATATGTTCTTTATATTTTCTGATAAGTTTTAAAAAACTGTTCATGCTTTCCTCCAAATTAAGCCACTCATACTGTTCTACTTGCCCTTCTAAGTGTGAATAGTAGCTAAGTCAAAAATAAAACCATGTTCTACAGCTTCTGTAGACTTTCAAGAAACTAGCGTATTGTTAAGAGATTTCACAAGCTCCTGACTTTCTGTAGTCTTTTTCTGGGATTTGAACATTTGATTATGACAATATTATTCTTAACAAGATCTGTTAAACAGAATTTATGGGGCTATAGACTAGACTAAATCTGTCTTCAAAAAGCTTCTCTACTAAAAGAATAATGAGAGGGATCATAGGACTGCTCTTTGCCACACAGAGATTAGGATGACAGGTATAGCGTATTTTGGTGTCCTGAGTTTAGCAGTAGCAGTCATTTTTCTCCTTCTTAGTAGCTGATGCAGCGCTGTGGTTTTGACTTTCGGCCTGGGAACAGCACTGATAACACTGATGTTTTAAGTTGTTGCTCAGTAATGTTTACTCTGACCAAGGACTTTGAGGACTTTGTGAGTCTCATGCTCTGCCAGGGAGGAAGGGAGGCTGGGAGGAAGCAGAGACAGAACACCTGAACCAAACTAGCCAAAGAGGTGTTCCATACCACAGCACATCATGCTCGGGGAGGTAACTGGGAGTTACCCAGAAGGGCACTCTCTTCTCGGTCGGGCTCGTTTCGGCAGGCGGTATCGTATTCTCTTCCCTTGTTATTTCCCTTATCATTATTATTGTTGGTGGTAGCAGTAGTGGTTTGTGTTTTACCTTAGTTACTGGACTGCTCTTATCTCAACCCGTGGGCGTTACATTCTTTCGATTATCCTCCCCATCCTTGGGGGGGGGGGTGGGGAGGGGGGAAGGAAAGAAGGAGGGGGGAGTAGAAACTGTGTGGATTTAAACCACGACAGTTCTTTTGGCGCCCAGCGTGGAGCATGAGGGGTTGAGAAAACGACAGATTTGTCTGGAGTGTGTCTAATCGTATTTGTGATAAGCATTCATTGTTTTGGATTAATAGTCATGCATCACAATGCTGATTTATTGGCTCTCAAAGTTGTTTCTCTTGATCTCACAGTTTCAATATATCGCACCTTACTTAGAGCTGGTATTTGCTGTGTGTTTTTCAAGTGTGGGGCTTGGGCTAAGGTTCTTGTCTCGTTGTACTTTATGGTAACGACTGCTACTGCTAAACCCAGGACATTTGGCTAGTTTGTCAAGCTGGAATTTTGGGTTTGTTTTTTGGTTTTGGGGGTTTTTTGGTTGTTGTTTTGTTATTGTTTATTTATTCACATTTGATACAGCTTTTAGTAGTTCTTGAGGTTGGAATGAGTTTAAATTGCAATATCAGGGAAGCCTGGCTATTGCAGTGCTGCTCATATGTGAGAAACTGGCTTGCTCCAGCCAATTATGAAGTCAGTATTTAGAATCTCCAAAAAGGTGTGGTCTGGCAGTAAAACAGGGTTTTGGCTAAAGGAATGTCTAACACTTTCTTTTTGTTTTTGCTAATGCTACATTAGGTGCTCCCTTCTTACTGTTTCTTCATTCCTCTGATTTCCTTTCTTCAGTTGTTTGTCTTTACAAATAACCTTGCTTACTTTTCCCTTCATCGTAGAATGGTTAGGGTTGGAAAAGACCTTAAGATAATCTAGTTCCCTAAACCCCCTGCCATGACCAGGGATACCTCACACTAAACCATGTCACCCAAGACTCCATCCAACCTGGCCTTGAACACTGCCAGGGATGGAGCATTCACAACTTCCTTGGGCAACCCATTCCAGTGCCTCACCACCCTCTCAGTAAAGAACTTCTTTCTTATAGCCAATCTAAAATTCCTCTGTTTAAGTTTGAACACGTTGTCTTATCACCACAGTCCCTGATGAAGGGTCCCTCTCTAGCATCCCTATAGGCCCCCTTCAGATACTGGAAGGCTGCTATGAGGTCTCCATGCAGCCTTCTCTTCTCCAGGCTGAACAGCTCCAACTTTCTCAGCCTGTCTTCATACAGGAGGTGCTCCAGTCCCCTGATCATCCTCGTGGCCCTCCTCTGGGCTTGCTAGAGCAGCTCCGTGTTCTTCTTATGTTAAGGACACCAGGACTGTACACAATATTCCCAGTGGAGTCTCATGAGAGCAGAGGGGCAGGATCACCTCCTTTGGCCTGCTGGACATGCTTCTTTTGATGAAGCTCAGTATGTGACTGGCTTTCTGGGCTGTGAGCGCACACTGCCCAAAATGAAAAAGAATTTCTTATATCCTTACAAAACCTGTGCTTTGGTTTGCAGAAGTAGCCCAAAGATTCAGTACATCAGGCTTTTCCATGTGTGTGTACTCATGGTTTTTTGTTATTTGGTTGGTGTTTTTTGTTTGTTTGTTTATTTTCCAAGTGTTCTGTAGACTATAGCCTTGTAACATTAACAGAGAGCAGACTTTGAGGCTGCTTAGCAGCAGTGACAGCAAAGCTCTTGAAGGTTGTGATCCTTTGAGTTAGGAAAGAGAAGAAGGGTAGCAGCAGGATAGTCTGTGTTTACTAGGTATACTTAGATTATAACCTCAGACTGAAACCTGGGACAGTTAATGCTGCTAATACTGAAATTGGACCAGAGCTCTGTTCATGATATGAGTGTTCAGAATCATATCTTTGCTGGAGGGTCAGATGACTTTGCCTTTGGCTAATTTTTCATAATACAAGGCTTGCATACTTTGCATTTATATAATGCATTTGTTTACATCTGCAGAGTGATCTCATGAAACAGTAAGTTCAGATATGCAAATGAATTATTTTATTCCTAAGAAAGTTGGGGCTGTTCAGCCTGGAGAAGAGAAACTGTATGGTGATCTCATAGCAGCCTTCCAGTATCTGAAGGGAGCCTACAAGGATGCTGGAAAGTGACTCTTCATCATGGACTGTAGCAATAGGACAAGGGGCAATCAGTTTAAACTCCAACAGGGGAAGTTCAGGCTAGCTATAAGGAAGAAATTCTTTACTGTGAAAGTGGTGAGGCACTGGAACAGATTGCCCAAAGAAGTGGTAAATGCTCAATCCCTGGCATTGTTCAAGGCCAGGTTGGACAGAGACTTGGGTAACGTAGTCTAGTGTGATGTGTCCTTGCCCATGGCAGGGGGTTGGAACTGGATGATTGATCTTAAGGTCCTTTCCAACACTAAGCATTCTATGATTCCTTTCTACTTAAGCATGGAAGCTGTATAGCTGTTTTGGACCAGACTTTGATAGCAGAAGGTCTTTGAACAAGTATTCTATTAAAAAAAACAAAACAAAACAAACTGAAGCTGGGAAATATTACAGACATACATTCAGAAAATGCTAATTCCATGCACTTCAGATGAGACTAGAACTGTTTTCTTAAGTGGAATCAATCTTCAGAAATGTCACATTAAATGTGAAAGCTTAAGTCTTCCTTAAGGAGAAATTGCAACATATTTTCGAAACTGTACAGTAAGAATTGTGTAGTTATGTATAAGATAATTTAGGAATGGAAGGAAAAAAGTTCAGAACTTTTTTTCTCTTCTTCCTCTAGGTGGCTGACGATGGTTATGGTGTTTCTTATATCATCTTGGATGAAACCTCCATCCATTTTCATGTCTCCAGCAAAATATCTTGCTCTAAGACGGTAAGAATCAGTCCTTTTGTACAGTTTAATAAATCTGTTCTGATATCTGCTTATGAAACTGTTCTACAGATTCTCTAAATGAAATTAGTAGGACTTGCAAGATACAGTTACAATTTGCCTTTTCTTCCTCAACATATGCTGTTTTGTTGGGGGTGGGTTTTTGTCTCCACTTTACAAAAGTAATACCTTTATTAACCAAGGAAGCCATATTCTATTTCACATATGGTTTCAAGCATAAACAAAGCCCATAGTTGTCTTTACATATGAGTAGTTCCTTGGAACTCATGTAAAATGACTCATACCTGTCCAATAGACAGTAAGATTTTTTTGTTGTTACAGTTTGGCTTCGATTTTTCTCTGGTTGCAATTGTAAAGACAGAGTAAAATGTATGCTCCCTATTCTTCAGATCTTTTTGGTTTAAATAATACTGAAAGAAGGTGGCACATAAATTGTAATCTGTGCTTGAGAAACATAATTAATAAAAAATTTATTAGAGTAACACCCATTGTTAGAATGTAGTAGATGTCATCTATTGAGTAGTCTGCTGTTGCAGAGGCATCCAAATCATCTTTCCCTTTTAGATTTTTATGACTTTAATAAACATGCTGAGTTTGTTTAGGATAGCATAACTGAACTAGTTTCCCTTGTTTGACCTTAACTTGTCTGAAACATCATGGTGCTTTTGGTTAATCATTAAAGATGAGGAAACACAATTTTATTTTTTCACAGTTCAAATTGTTCTTCAGATGAGTATTAGCTTGTATGTTAAATTTCCCTGTGTTTTACTTACTGGTCAAAGGTCCATACAGAAAAGACAGCATTTTATGCGTGTGGCCTTGATATTACTAGAGTCTTTGTAGTAAATCCTGGAATGTAGCTAATAATTTATTTTTCTAATCCTACCTCTTCCTTGTACCTTTCATCTCACACCTAGAATAAACAGAACAAGTTCACAGTTTGTTTACACTTAGATAACTGTAATTTTCATTTTCAATATTTTAGATACTTTTTCAATGGCAAAAAAAATCAGGGTTCTCATAGGAACTCGAAATAGAAAAACTTTTTCTGCTCTTTTTGGTATTTCTATGTCATTAGTGAGAGACTTTTTGAGCGTTCGTTTTCTGAAAATTAGCTTTTGCAAATTCTTGTGTAAGAAAACAGTACTGAAACCCAGCTATTTTAAAGTCACAGAAAGCTATAGAGGCATCTGTTTTCAAAAGGAGATGATCTCAGTTCTGTTTATAGGAAAGTAAATGCATAATGACGAACTCAGTAATAGCAGAAGACTGGATTAATTTGTATAACATTAAATATTTTGTGATTTAAATTCCTCATTTTATGGTAAAATAGATACTCTAGTTCTCTAAGCTCCAAAATTAAAAAATGCTAAAAGGTTCCTTCTTTTGCCTAAAAGATGACTGTTGATTGACAGTACAACTCTTTGGTTTTGTTTTTTTGTTTGTTCCTTTTTAAAGGATTCTCATCGTTTTGGGAAAAACATCGCAAAAGCAATGGTTGACATCATGCATTTATTTAACCTTAGCAAAAACTGTAACAAGTGATTCGCCTTATTGGTACCAAGCGATCGCCTGTTGTGGGATGTGAGCTCTTCTGTACAGTGAACGAAGGCAAGGTTTGTCAAACAGTAGCTGGTGAAGAAACTGAGTCAGCATCTTCTTGATCACCTATGAAAACCTTAGCACTGTATTGAATGTTTCATTAATTTTTTTCAGTAGTTTGGAAGAGTTTGTTCCACAAAGGATGGCTTTTGAAATCTTGTCTGTTTCTAGCGATGTAGTATCATTGCATGAAGTCATGTATATTCTAACTCCTACAGTTTTCTCTTAATTTGTACACACTTGCTCTTTTCTTACTTGAAATTAGACTACTTGTATTCCAGAATCAGAATGATAAAACACACCATCTTAAACGCAAATATTAGAAAAAGTTCAATTTGCTGTGTATTCATAGCAGAATGTTCTTCAATGCATCTGCTGCTTTATGTCAAAGAATGACAAAACTTGTGGCTGTTTGCCTTTATTGTTTTCTGTTGTTTGGGTGGTTGTTTTTTTTTGTTTTATTTTGTTTTTTTTTTTGTTTGGGTTTTTTTTTTAGGTTTTTTAAAAGGAAATTTCTGTAAAGCAGACAAAACCTCCCTTATATGACCCACTGTAACACAAAGAGTTGTAAAAACTTTGGGGGTTTTGGAAAAAAAAACCACAACATTGTTGTAGTAGTCCTACATCAGGTAGTAAATTGTGTTGCCTAAGTAGCAGGTACCACATTTTTCTTACTACTTTACAAGCATGTTTGCCACATCATTTTATTTCTCTATAAATAAATGGACCTGTGTGCTTGTTCAGTTGAGTGCCTTAAAAAAAAAAAAAAAATAATATCCTAAACCCAGGAAAAAAACTGATTGTGAGACCTGGTTTTACATTGTCTTACTGGTGAAGGAGGTGAAATAATAGTATTTCAGATGCAGTTTTCAAATTGTAAGTTAGATTGATGTGGCATAAGTAGAATTGAATATGTTGCCATATGGTGGGTGCAGTTAGGTTTGCAGCTCTAATGAAAGGCTCCCATGAGTCCCAATGAAATGCAGGAATAATTTTGTTTCAGATCTACAGATACACCCATGTTTAGGTTGGTGAGTGGTATCATTGGTCATTTGAGGTGAGAGCTTCCGGATCCAAGGGAATGCCAATTTAGTTAAAAGCAACCAGTCTGATAGCCTATGAAGCAAGCTGCTGCGGAGGCTGATCAATTGCAGGTTGCCTGCTTTCAGCCTGAAAGGACCACTACTACTTTGCCAACCACCTGCATGAGAAGGACAAGCTATTAAAGCAGTGGAAAATAGCTCCAGAATGGGAAAATTCTGGCTACTTCAAACTCCTACCAGGCGATGGTTTTGGTCAAGCAGTATCTGAAGGATACAAGACGGAAGGGGAAAGCTATTTCATTCAAAAAGGAGCACAGTGTTTCCAAGCACAGAAATGAAGGGGCTACTGCAAAATAGAGTAACTTTGTATGTAATGCTTCTCTTCCCTAGGCTTTTAGGTGTGGTTTCTTTTTACATCCGGCAGTGCAGTAAAGTGTACCTGTTAGTACAACAAGTCTTTTATTTTGTTTTAAATATAAGGTACATGCTGTTTGGAAATACAGTGAATGATGCTCTACAGCTATGCTGATTTTAAAAGGCCTTTGGGGATGATACAAAACTTCTCATTAGACTTTGAATGTTTTCTGGCCAGTATTTCTTAACTTTCTATGCCTCTTCATGTTTTTGTTATTTTCATTTTTACTCTGATCTAGCTATTAAAACACCTGTACATGTATGTTTGATGTGGAAAACTTCAAAGATCCCAGATGCATGCTTATAAAGAAACCTTCACAGGAACTGGCCAAAGACACTCATTTGGACACTTTGAAATAAGCCTTACTGTAGCTGGCAGGCCTGGTATTTGTCAAACTACTGCAACAATTTTATAGTGATATATCCTTTGAGAGCTGCAGAAACAATGCACTGGGGTTTTTGCCCCCCCCCCTTTTTTTTTCTTTTTTTATTTTATTTTATCAACCACTGACCAATCTGTGCTTAAATTAACATTAGGGCTTGTAGGATTTTCTTCAAAAAAGTTTAGATATGACTCTCAGGTTTTAAATGTTTCAAGTCTAATTGTAGTTAGTGCAGTTATCAATGCAATTTTACATTCTTAGAGAGTTAGACTAGTTGGCACAGAAAGCGCTTTTTTTTCTATTATAAGTGTTTTAAACATTTTGTGGGATTAAATGTATCTTTTTAATTTGGGACAGATCACAATTCTTAAACAGATAAGATTTTTATTTCATTTTCTTTAAAATATCAAAGCGTGTAAATAAACTATGCTTTTTGGATGTAAATCTTAGAAATCCACAGTGAACGTAGGTTCTTAATAATTAATTTAAATCTTTATGTTTGATATTGTGTACATACAGTAAAACTGCTTGCTTTTTTGCTCAAAAGCCATAGGAATGTGACTGAAATGACCTAGATTTAAATGAACCTTCTAGTATAATGTACTCTATAATAAAGTTAAAAGTTCATATTCCAGAAATATTTATGTATTTCTGGAATGTTCATATATTTGTTCATATTCATGTTGAGAAAAAGTACTAATTTGTTACTAAAACCTTGATTCATTTATTCTCAATTAGTGATTTAAGAGCTTAGGGTTGAGTAAAAGTCAGGTTGGATGATAAGATCTTGACCTGTTTATTTAACAGCAGGGCAGAATTGGTGGAATACCTCAAATGTGCATTTTTCAAATTTCTTATTGCCGCTATTTCATGCCAGAAATTAGGAAAGCATTAAGTACCTTTACAGACTACCATTATGTAGGGCTAACACCATACCTAACTAAATATTCTTTAAAGGGTTGGGTTTTTTGGGAGACTAAGGAAGTGTGTGACTGACCTTGAAATTCGTGCTTCTAATTCAGCCTTTGTACCAGCTGTTTTCTCCCATAAAAGTATATTAATTTGAGCTGGTTTGTGTTCTCCTTTTATATTTTGTTCAATTACTCTCCACCTATGGTTAGTTATTTACATCCAGTGCTTTGTTGCTCTTTCCTACGTTCTTCAGTGACTTCAAAAAGTAAAATAAAATTTCACAATTACACTACCTAGTACAGTGTCTAATATCTTTTCTGTCTTTTTCCCAGCTCCCTTGCTGCTGTTGCTGGACTTGTGAAATCACTGCTATTAAATCTGGTTCAGAATGGCAGTAGCAGACTATTCAGTCTATTTTAGAAGTAACCTATACATGTCTTGTTAATTACTAGGGAGTGTGGTAATGGACTTCTCTTTTTTTTTTCAGGTTCAGTAGAAAGAAGAAACAGCACAGGTCTTGCTTTACATGAGCTTTTTTCGTATGACACAAGTAACTGATGGAATATTTATGTGAAACAGTTCTGGTTACAAGCTAGTGGATAGCACTAGTTTGATCTTTACAGCGAATAACCTGTAAAGTATGAATGGTAAAGTAGTGGAGAACTAGTTCTGGCACAGAAAGTTGACATTGTTATATAAACCACTACCCCAAGCCCTCTACACAACCTGCCACTTTTGTGTGATAGATAATTTTCACAGCCATTTAGCTTGCTACTTTTCTGAATGTTGCAGCCTTAGCTACATGAAAGAACAGTGATTTCAACTTCACACTTCATTTCTTAGATACTGTTAGCTCCTGCTTCTATTTCACACATTGCCCACCAAAGCTGGATACCGAAGTTGTAAACCCTGTTCTGTTTAATCTGAACAAAAAGACTGTATGGAAACTTTCTAGGCTCAGAAAATAAAGATTTATTGTGCCTTCCCCCCGCCCCCGAAACTGAAAACATCAATAGAGAAAAGGAAAAGTTGAGGTTCATTTTCTCCTTTCAAGGAAACTTTTTCTCTTACACGGCCATAGGTAGTGTAGTGTTTTCTCAGCTCAGAAATCTCTGTGACAATTCCCAGGTTTACAGAGTGAGTTGTAGAAAGAGCTCAAATCACAGAAGCTGGAAGTCAGCTATTTCACAGCATCACAGAATGGCTGAGGTTGGAAGAGGTTTCCAGAGGTCATCTGGTCCAAACACCTGGATGCTCAGGACCATGTCCAAAGGGTGTTTTGAGTATCTCCAGGGATAGAGACTCCACAACCTCCTTGGATTACCTATGCCAGTGTTCAGTCCCCTACATGGTAAAAAAGCGGTTTCCTTATGTTCAGAAGGAAACTCCTGTGTTTCAGTTTGTGCCTATTGCCTCTGGTCTTGCCAACGGGCACCATGGCAAAGAGCCCGGCTCCCCTTCTTTGCACAGTCCCTCCTACTTTGTATTTCCAGGCTCAACAGTCCTGCCTCTCAGCCTTTCTTCATACAGGTGCTCATATTCATACATACGCCCTTAGTCATCTTTTTGGCCCTTTGGCCACTCACCAGTACGACGCTGCCTCAGCACTGGACACAGTACTTCGGTGTGCTCTCACTAATGCATTCTTCCTCATGGGTAATAGCACACAGCCCCTACTCGGTGCCGGGGTCCTGGTTCCTCTCTGGCTCCTTGTACCGCGGTGTGATTTCCCACCCGAACTATGCGCTACATCCTAACGAACAAGCCTCCGGGCGCTCGGTGCGCGTTGCGGTCACGCGTCCGGTCACGTCGCGTCCGTTAAAGTCGCGCCGCGCAGTGCTGGAGGAGCCGCTGTGGCGCAGGGTAAGCGGCCGGAGCCTCGTCCCGTTCCGCCGGAGGACCTGCTGGGGGAGGCGGCAGGGCAGCCGGAGCTTCCGGCCGGGGCTCGTCTCCCTGTCCAGCCCCGGTGGCAGTGGTGGTCGGTGCATGTGGGTCAGAGAGCTCTCAGCGCTGACAGCTGCCGGGCCGGAGGCATGGGCGGCTTCGCCCTCCCCATATTGGCTAGGTCTGAACCTAGGAACAGTGGTGGTGGCAGTACAGGGGTATTTTGGCCCATGTTTTCATAACGGGGCCTCGTGGTGCACGAGGGAGAGGTGCTTTGGCTCACGTTGCTTATTGGAATGGTGGCATGGCAGATAAAGTTCGGTCTTATTGTGCTATTTACTGATACAAACTTAAAACTATAATTATCATAAATTCACAGAATGATTTGGTTGGAAGGATCCTTAAAGCTTATTCAGTTCCAACCCCCTGCCATGGGCAGGGACACCTTCCACTAGACCAGGTTGCTCCAAGCCCTGTCCAGCCTGGTCTTCAACACTGCCAGGGATGGGGCAGCCACAGCTTCTCTGGGCAACCTGTGCCAGGGCCTCACCACCCTCGCAGGGAAGAACTTCTTCTGTGTATATAATCTGAATCTCCCCTCTGTCGTTTTAAAGCCATTCCTCTTTGTCATGTCAATACAAGTCCTTGTCAAAAGCCCCTCTCCAGATATCTTGTCAGCCCCTTTAGGCACTGGAAGCTGCTCTGAGCTATCCCTGGAGCCTTCTCTTCTCCAGGCTGAACAAGCCCAGCTCTCCCAGCCAAGCTGTCTAAGCGTATTACATCAATTTTTTTTTTTTTTTTTTTGGCTACTAAAGCCAAGTAGTAAAATTCTGATTTAAGTCTGAATGCTGTTAATGTGTTCAAAATGCACAAAGAATGTGCTCTGGTAAAAGCAGTTGGTTTGTGTTGGCATGGTGGCTTGCATTTTCTGACAGATTCAGAACCCCAACAACCTCTTCTAGATTATAAATTCCACAGTTTTGTGTTAATTGGGTTAATCTTCATTATTATATGTACATGTTGTTTGATTAAGACTATTTTGTTCACTCCTAGATAGAAAAACTATTCAGAAGAATATAAAAATATAAAATTTCATTATCTTCAATGGGGAAAAAAAAAAAAGGAAGCTATTGACAGTATGTCCATGAGTATGGAGAGATCCTTTGATATAATAGACAGTGGGCTTCTGACTGTAATATTTAGTCAAAATAGTCCTGTTAGTTCTGAAAACTTAAATCTGGAAACTGTAGTAATTAATAATCCCATTGAAGAAGGATTGTGCTCTAGTCAAGACAATCATTTACGCACTGTAAATGTGGAAGATACTTTGTTAGATCACTTCAAGTATCCACTTGCCAGTGAAAATCAAGATACAGTAATAAAAGTTGAAGAACAGCCACATGGAAACAACAGCTGTGATGAGGATCTTGAAAAATACAGGGATTTAAATCCTCCAGAAGAAGCTGAACATATGCATTCACCTTACCTGCCTTCAAATGGTGTCCCCCTTCTTTCTTCTGTACTGATGCAGAATAAAAATCGCAGTGTTCCAACTTCAAGCATTTTCTCTCCTGAAGGAACATCCAGTCAGAATGTCAGGGAGATACCAGTAAGATTAAGTGAAATAGGAATTTTCATACATTCATGCTTGTTTGTGATTACATGTGGGGAATTGCCACATTAAAACTTATGCGAGAACCAAATAATGTTTAAAGTTAACATTTTTTACTAGAACAAACTTAGTAGTAAATACAGAAATTAATTTCTAGTTTATATTGCTAGAAGTAGCATGCAGTTGAAATATGGTTCTGACTGTAGTTCTTCTTTGTCAATGTTATGAACCATATTTTTAAGTGGCTGTGTAGTTATTTTGCTTATTAAAAGAACTTTATCATGTCACACATGCGCCCACTTTGGTTTTGTATACTACTGTCTGTATTAGCAACTATTAAGACAGTTGTACAAAGTACAAATAGAATATTAACTTTTGTTCTTTAGTTCCACAGGTCATCTTAAAATCTGTAGTCCAAATGAGTTAAAAAGTAACTTATTTGCAGCAGTAAACTGCAGCTGGAAATGTTAAGTCTTCATGGGGAAAGTAGTTTCGTAAGAGAGGGGTTTCCTATTGCTTTCAATGTCTGGTAGTTTATAGTTTGAAGTTACATTTTCTATGTTTGATCAATTACTATCTAGAAAGGTATGGAGCATAAAGCTTCTTGTGATGCTCACAAGACAAAATCCACCTGCTTCTAAAGGGGCACTGAGGTCTCAAGATAACTTCCTTTGTGAGGCTATCTTGCAATAATTAAGCATACCCATTGACTTTTTTTCCACATAAATATTTTGACAAATGGTGCTGTTCTCAGATTCCAAAATGAAAAGCACTAAAAGCCTCACAAAAATCACTTTGTTGAAAATCACTACACACAGTGGGGCTGCCTGTGCAGGGAAAGTTCTGTCACAGAAATGATTGCTACCCAGCCCAGTGTGTTTCCTAGTGGTGTTTCACCCTGAGGTGTTTGAGGTTTGCTGTGATAGTTACCTTACGTTTTCTGGTTTTCTTTTTGATTTCAGATTACGATATAGTTTTGAAGTATCTCTGGCTTGGAAGGTTTTTTACACACAATAATGCTCAGGACACACACAGCACTCAGTATTTTTAGTAGTTGTTTAATAATCGAGACCTTCAATCTTTTGAAATGTTATTAAGATACAAAAGACTGGTGGAATCCTCTAGAAAATAAAGATGTGATTAAGAAATAACAGTTGCTTTCTTCAAAGTTAAGTTGAAGATAGGGAAAATTTGTTAGTCTCTGTACAAGGAGCTGAAAATGAAACTTAGAAAAAGAATCTTTCTGACCAGCTCTCTTTCTAGTATCCTTACAGTTCATCATACTAAATCTGCAGGTTTCCTTAATCTGCCCTGTTTCTTGAAGGATTAGGACAAAATTCCACGAGATTATAAATAATTTTATTGAAAGAAAGCAAGCTGATCGATTGTTTCAATGCTGCTTGCTTTCCCTCCTAAACTGCTGTCAATATGAAGAGGAAGCACAGCACATACAGATAGAGAACAGATTTTCTAGTCTGAACAACCACAATTCTAATTTGAAACTAGAAAATTGTTGATTTCTGGTTTTGTTCCATTTTCTGTTAGTTTGGTTTGATTTTGAAAATACACTTGTAGGTATTAAGTATGCTATTATAGTTATAAATGCATTAGATCTAAACCATAACTGTATTTTGAACAGAAAAAGCAGAAATAATATTCTAAGTATAAGATGGTATCTGGTAATGCTCAGTGGGCTGCAGCATTTATGTGCTTAATTATGTAATGAAAATCTAAATAACTCCCAATTTCCAAGGTAACTTTAAGGCAGATTTTTGTTTATTCATTTTGCTTTTCAA